TGAATTATATATATATTTAAGGGAAGTATGTATGTATTTGTGTGTATAAATACAATAATACAATTACATGTACTGTCGCTACTCATTCCAGAACATTTACCATTTCAAATATTAATTTCCGTTTATGATCGGCTGCACTGCTTCGTACATATTATTATTATTATTATACTGTTATAATACCTTAAATTACACCCCTTCCCACTCAATACACACGTATAAATACTCATATGAATTTTTCACACGCACGGATATCGGAATCATTGTCGCATATAAAACAAGTTTGAATAACACATAAATACGCATAGTGATGTATTAATATATAATATATGCAATGTTGTATGTCCAATAAGTATAGGTAGGTACATGATAGGTATTTTTTCGTGTATAAAATACATATCATATAACTTTAAAGATTCAAGCACAGAGACAAACTAAATTAAATATGGGATTTTTTAAATTTGATTGAAATGCTTCAGTAATACACAATCAACAATACGAGTTATGCAAGTAAAATGTATAAATTAAATAACTTCCAATGTAATTAAATAAATGGCAATACTAATAATATATTTTATTGCACAAGTATTGATACTTATTATTGGTTAGTAATTTTAACTAACAAATTTTTTGTATTAGAAATAGGCAAAACTAAAAATTACTTTGCATTCATTGTCGCTAGTAAATTTGACACTTGTGATCATGGTTCTATAGTCCATATTCTTACTGAACACTCTGTATATACAATATATACAATGTATATTATACATACGAGTATATAGTAGATAGTGATATATTCTTGTTCGATTGTCATTGTTCAAATAGTATACGTGTAATATATTGCATGGCTTTAATGGCATATATTTATACGAAGAACAGATCTCCACGGCATTTGTATAATCTTTTCCACTTGGTATGACACAATAACAAGAATAATTCTAACAAATTTTCGAAAATGCTTTCCCTTTTTCTTTTCTGTTTCACCGAGAATATTATATCCAAAAATCTTTAATATTATTAAAGGCTACTGTCGTGTATTATACAGCTATAATATTTCTATTATTATTTTGGCTATTATATTATTACAACAATCTGATGCACACGCCGATGAAACTTTTTTGCTGACGACTATTATATAAATAAAATATAACAAAACCTAACACAAAAACGTAATAAACGTAAAAATGAAAGAAAAAAAATTGCTGAGTTCAGGTGTTGCTAATACACACGCTTAGAATAACATTAACACCCGCTGCATCAACCTTTTATAAATATATTTTTCAAACATGAAATTCCGGACCACCACGAGTGAAAGACAGGTATTGTTACTTAAAATTAATCGACGAAGGCAATGTAATAGGAAACCTCACCCCATCGTTAAAGGAAAAATAAAATAAAAGAAAAAAGAAACTTCATAATTTCGCAGGGTACATGTACGTTGTTTGTCAGGCTCGCATTATTATTGTACGTAAACGCGACGCGTATCTCATTTATTATGCCCTCTAGTGCTGGATCAAATTTGTACATAGGTTGGCTGGTATTTAAAATCTTCAAAACCTCTTTCAAACGATCTCCTGATATATTTTTAATTTTTCTTACATTTAGTTTAAAGAAATATTTTTTTTTTATAGTACCAATCAATTTTATTAGATACAAATCTATAGTAATTTAATAAATATTTTAAAAAACCTAGACTTATATTAAACAGAAACAGGTAGTGGCGGATTCACGGGAGGGGTTTTGGGGGTTAAAACCCCCGCCAACATCACGAAAAATATAAATTAAAAATCAATAATTTTATGAATGAAGAAAAAGATTTTTTTTTTTTTTTAAAGTATAAGGCAAAGTATATAAATTTTTTTTTTATTCGTACAAGAAGTAAGTTGTCTTAGATTTAAATAAATGTATTATACTGCTGACTATTATCTTAATTAAATTATTTCATACACTTAAATAAAATTTTACAATAAAATTAAAAGTTTTGAATTAAATTTTTCTTGTTTTTTTGAAAACTTCTTCAAAAACCTCATCAATTGATACATTAATATCTTTATGAATATTCATAGAAGCTAGACCATTGAGCATTTCTTGACCTGTTGTATTTCGCAAATTGGTTTTGATTCTTTTTAAACATGAGAAACTTCGTTCAGGCGTAGCTATTGAAACGGGCAAGATTGCCATTATACGTAAAATTTTGAAAACATTGCCAAAATACGAATGTGCACTACTACATTAAAAAGTAAAAACCCTTGATCAGTCACTGACCGCAATATTATAAATAATATCCCAAATGCCAAAGAAAACAATTTTCAAAACCCCCGCCCCCCATAAAAAAATCCTGGATCCGCCTCTGGTAACAGGTAACAAAATTGTAGGCTCATTACATAGAAAAATTAATTAAAATACTTAACTAATATTTACTTGAATAAAAAATAAAAATAAAATTCAAGGACATATTTAGAAATTCATTTAAAATTAATTTGTAATATTTATATTTAATAGTAAAAATAAAAATGTATGCTTTTTTCATAAATCATTATTTAATTGCAATTAATTAAAATTTAATATTCATAAATAATAATGTATGCACTATCTTAAGTTTACTAAAATCGATTAATATGTGATGATGATTATAATTTATATTTATAAAGCCATGATTCCCAAGAGTCTGAACTCCTCGTAATCCCTGTAAATCGAGCAGTTTAATCGTTACAGTTTAACTAAACTAAAATTTTGGATGTGCTTAAATAAAGTAACGCTCATAAAATTGCAGTGCATATCATTCTTAAATCATATCAAAGGACCCCTTTAGGGTTCAGACCCCCGAAATGTTTTCTTAAGATATAATTGAATGATTCTTAATACCTATTACATTTAAAATTTTAAAATTTTCTGGTAAAAATTGTACATTTTAGAAAATGTGTGTGTAAATTATTACGAAAAGGTTTGTCAAATTAAAATAAAATAAATCATATATTTTTTTTTATTTTCATAATAAAACAAAATTTAAAAGTAAGTATTTACAAAAAAGAGGTCCGTGAACTAATTTAAGTTATAGCTAGGGGTCCGTGATTACACACTGATTGGGAACCACTGATCTACTACACTACAGTTTACACAACAATAATTTAATTTCGAAAATCAGTATGACCAGTTTTTATAACTTTTCGTCAATTTTTCGAATTTTTCAATTAAGAAAACTGTGAAAAATTCATAAAATAGCCCTAATTAAATGTACCAATTAGATATTTTCAATCAGAAATGTATAATAATTGCGATAATTTGAGCAAGCTTTCAGGTCAAAATCGTATACAAGAACATAAACACACAAAATAAAACCACACATCATGATAAAACCAAAACATTTCTCATTTTCCTCAGAATTTAAAATTAAAAATAAATTATTATTCTAAAATAAATTACATAAGCACATATTTTGTCTATTCAATTTGAAATCAGAAATAAATGCAACTTAAAGGTGTTTAGCACTTTTTAGCTATTAATTTCCTCATGTTAAATCACGTTACTGTTAACAAATAAAACTAAACAACGAAATATTTATTTTTGTGACAGGCTGGCTTCTATTTCATCTAATCATTATGATATAATATACATATTATGTATTGGCGCACGAAAAAAATGAATTTTAACGTAGAACATTTAACACTAAAGTCGAATCGTAATTCACTTAAAATCTTCGACAATTCGATTTACATACTAGACCAGGGGTGGCCAACATGTCTATGTACACGAGCCACATGTATTAATAAGATTATATTAAGAGTCAAATTATCTAATCGGTACTTCTATACTACAAAAGTAATTAAGAAAGCTAACAGTTGATAAACATATATATATATATAAATAATTAAGTCAAAATATCGTTAAAATTTGACTAATGATCATCATACAGAATTACTAAGAACAACTCTTACATCAATTCAACCAGATCTTAAGAAGCTTACTAAAAAAGTGGACATGAAAAAAATACCATGCAAACAAATTTAACTTGATGTTTAATTTTTTAATTTATTATTCATATAAATAATTATTTTTTTTTTGTTTATTAATCTGTACACTATAGCCTCGTATTTATGCAATAAAATTTTTTTTTTATAAATGTATACAAAAAAATTTAAATATTTTGGTTTTTGTAAATAAGACCGCGAGCCGCATACGACTATGATGAGGGCCGCATGCGGCTCGCGAGACGCAATTTGGCCACCCCTGTACTAGACCCATGCGAATTATTTTACTTACAATTAATTGGTCTTATATGGAACTTGGTTTTCAGACCCAACCATAAATTAACTGTAAACTTATAGTGTTCGTATGGACACTGTAAACAAAGGAAATTGGTATTTAATATTGTGTATTGACTTGTAAGATAATAGTACAGTATTTTATTGCATTTGGAGTATGTTGTACGTGCGTTGGTTATAACAAATTCGACACTCGTTACACATGCAGAAATATATACGATAATATTTCATGCATTATCCTATACATGGGTTCGATGTTTTTGAGCGCGCCATTATTGCGAAAATCGAAAAGTAAAAAATAGATACTGTATAGTTCTAAATACGGGAAATATTTGGTTTAGCGTATGATACACGTAACTTCAAATGAGTTTTTTAGTTGCATCTAACTGTGTATATTATAATATATTTAATGATTTGTTTTATTTTCGTCGGACGACGTTATGCATAGGTTCAATAGACCTTAGTTATGTATCCTGCGTGTGTGTAATATATTTTATTATTTAGAACACAAGAATTTTAATAAATTGAGTATCGACTCGAATCGTGTCAGCGACCACCCGCCTCGGTCGAGGGATCTCGAGGGACAACTAAATACGCATTCGTATCGCGGCGGTGGCGGCGCCGAGCTTTCCGGCGGCGTTAGTTGCGCGAATCAATACTAGGTGTCGCCCCAGAGTCATTCGACTTTTAATCAATGAAGGAAAATGGCGACCTACAAAAAAAAATAAAAAAATTAAAAATAAAAACTTTCTCACGGAGAAAAGCACACCACTCGTGTAACGCATTTCCATTCGCGTGTCCGCCCGCAACAACGTCGCGTCGTCCCTCTGTTAGCCGTGTCAGTAGTACACCACCCGGCATCGTAGTCGCGTTTCCGACTCCCGTTTTCTTCCTTTTTTTTTTTTTTTCACCGCATTATCATAAATATTGTTATTGTTTCATATCGAGAAAAAATACAATATTACAGTGACACAACAACAGCAGAACGTAAATACTGTTATTTCAGCCCACGAAAACTCATAATCTATGAACATTTCGGAATCGCGCTGTACCTGCACCGCGATCGGGTTGTATTCGTATTTTACACCTTTAACTCGGCGTTTCGTTTTCTCGGTAGACAAGTCGTCGAATCCTGTGGATTCGGTGAACCGTAACCTGCAGATACCGCAGTACGTACACTGATACCGGGGTATTCACCTTGGCCGATATCGTGTAGGCGTGAAGGGCTCGGGTCCGCACGTTGTATCAGCCGTCGCCGCGAGTGTACACGTCCACCGAAATCATTCGCGGCACACCTATATAATATACAACCACAAATTTTAAATCAACGATCTAAGTGTACGACCATACACTGCCACCATGTTCTTCGTCGACCTCGTGAAGAACTTCGTCTGGTAAGTAAATGCATATTTTGGATTCGGAAAAATATATCTACTCTTATATCGATGTTCGTTCGTTGTTATTCCTACGTACGCGTTTCCGTGTCCGAAATGTAATAGGTGATTACACTTAGTGTACAGTGGCCAACAGAGTTTTTACTACAGGCCCTACCACGGATATTGTGTTTTTAATAAAAAAAATAAAAAAACAGAAAATGTATCATTTTATTTCTGCAAAAATCGATCACTTATGACAAAACGTATATACGAGTACATACAATCGTTTAGTATATCGCCAGATTTCAAAAGTTATTTCTTACCCGTTGTTTCTTTTTTTTCTCTTTTCCCGTTGCATAATATATTTAATTTATTATGTTATTATATACACAGAGATTTATTATAATATCGTGGTATTATGTGGTAAAAACCAAACAATCCAGCTCATTAAAGATAATTAGATTTTTGTAAACATTGTACCATTAAAATATGTGAAAAAATCTAAAAAATACCTTATTAAGTATTTTGTATTTAATACATCCATTTGGAAAATTTTCGGATTTACTGTTTTAGAGTTTGATCAGAGAAAAATAATAAAAAGTAAAATATGATTATTCAATTTAATAATGTATAAATTAAAGTATAGTGAAACATTATCGATAATAAAATTCTTTCTTCAATTGTAATAAAGAAAACTATTTGGCCTGCTTAGTATGTATAATTCCAATACAGTATTTTTGTGGTCATAATTTTGCTTGTATTTATATTCCTAATAGTATGCTGTAGTATTTCACACGAGCTGCTTGTACTAAAAATAATGTAAAAATACATTCTCACTCAAAACACTTCATTTGGATTTGTTTAATCTATGAAAATGATTTTTTTTAGTTTTTTTTTCATGATATTACTTATTTTAAATAATTCGTCTAACTAACTAATCTTTTTTAATAAATGAAAGATAAAATAAACGACAATAAATTATTTATTTATATAATGCAGTTCAAAAACGTAATAATAAATCATATTACTATAAGAAAAAAAAATTTTACGATCGTCTCGTAACACATGCAACTTGTATACCTAATTGCCGTCATCGGCGTAATAATTATTAATAACTGTAAAAATATTAGTATATATGCTGGGCCGTTAAAACTGAGTGAACAGAATGTGCATTGCATACAGCCAGGGCCTCATACTATATTACAGGATCACAAAAGGTCATATGACTGGCATGAAAATGTCAATATATAATTTATTTGAATGAAACCAATGTTATTTACTAACTTAATAGATATACCCCTTGTCCCGCATTCTTCTAAGTTATTTCACAATCTTCTTATGTTTAAATCATATTATAAATACTACCATAAAAAATGATATGAAAATAATGTGTACTAGTTGTTGAAAAATAAATATAATAATTATTAATTTTCTATTGTATAAAACATTTTTATGATTATATCAAGTATAAACTAGAAAACTATTAGTTTTTGCCCATTAACGTACCCTTACATACCCATCATGTTTAGATAGAGGATAACTATGAATTACATTTTATAAGAATTCATTGGTATAATAGTTAAGGGTAAATCATTTATTTCAATAATAAACTATCATATTTCTTTAGGTATTTAGATATTTATTTATCATATTTTGTTCAAACTTTTAAATTTTAAATATCTCCCCCCCCCTTTAAAAATTAAATTTTTTTAGTTGCTATTGAAATATGTATAATAATAAGAGACCTCAAGATTTTGATTTGCATACAGGCCTCGAGTAATATGAATCTATATTACTATATTATATTACTTTTTTCTTAAAATGCCCTCATATGGATAAAAATAAAAATGTGAAGTCTACCATCTTTATGTAGTTTGTTGTAACCAAAATAAATAGACATACGATATCGTATAGCATTTGCATAGACCTTGAAGACTGAACAAAAGCAAAAGAGTGAGCGTATATAAACAAAAATTGTATAATATTATTTTATTTTAATATATTTAAGGATATTATAGGTATAACACATATTATCAAAAAAAAAAAAAAAACGTCAAACATTAATGTAAAAATATTACAATTAATAACGTATGATTTAACTATTATATCTGTAATCCAGTGGCGATTTATTTCACGTGTTTAGGTTGTGATGTATTATATTTTATATATTTTGTCTTGTAACTAAAATTCTATGCTATGTTTTTTTTTGTTAGTGTAAGAATTACATTTTAAGACTTTAAGTAATAAATTATAAATGGGTTCAACATTTTTTAGCTTTATATTTTATAAGATAATGTAAAAGGACCCCCCTTAGAAAAAATTAAAAAAACCACCACTGCTATAATCTATTATCATAATTGCCTTGAAGTGTCATACCGATGATATTTATTAAACATTAAAGAGTTGGAATCAACTAACAATCATGAATAATGTTGTTTTATTCTCTACGGAATTTTTATATTTCATTTTGCAAGTAAATGTAGGTATCTGTATAATTTAAAAATTATTCTACTAATGTCTACAGTTTTTAAATTAATTTTTATAATTTTCCACATTGACGGACAACCTAAAAAAAAAAAATTAAGTAGTATATATAATTCCAAATTGGTAACTTACATAATTTCATTATTTTTGGATTACCATCAATAAAAAAGTTTTTATTTGTAATCCGTATTTTGTTACTTGATAACGATTTCACATTTGGGTATAAAATTAATTTAATTAATTAAATTCGTTTGAACTGAATTCGAGTTGATCTGTCAATCCAAGTATCTTCAACATTTTCGTGTTCTTTAAGTATTCAAATCTAATTATTTTTAATTAATATGTTTTGAATATCAGATTGTAAAATTTGTGACATTGTAGATGCTTTCTGCTAATAAGTAAGAGTTTACCGTTTTTTCCTAATTCAGTGACTGAGATGAAAAAAAATGACTTTGATAATGAACTTATAGAATTATTTATTTAAATTGATAAAAGGGATATTTATTATAAGTTAAAACAGTTTTAAGCTTCAAACTATATTTTTCATTCTCATTTTGTTGTCGTAGAACCATATATATCTCAATTTGAACATTATAATATTGTAATATATCAAGTGTTAGAATACTCAATTTTAGGCATTACTTGTGTTTGTGCGTACTAAATTATGTCTCTATTTTTTTTATAATAAATTATATAGAGTTCAAACATGATGAAATTGCTTTGAAAAATATTTTAGTATATTTTGTTTGTGTTTGTGTCATTTTATGGTTGATAAATCAATTCAATTCTTCAGGTCTACTATCAAAGTTAATTACATTTGTTTACTTTTCAAATATTATAACTATCGTACAACATTTAATCAAATAACATAAAATTGTGTAAATAGTATTTATTCAGAGTATTTTTAGGACAAAAAAAAATTCAAGAAATATTTTAATTATTCACTAAATCGAATTAGTAAGAAAAACGTTAGTAGCTTTATATTTTTTAGAAAACATTTAGTGGAAATGTAAAATACTTAATATTTTAAGAAGCTCGTTAATGATTTAATATTAGAGTACTTGAACCAATTCGATACACAATACTTTCAGTTAATACCAATAGCAAGATTCTCAGTTTTTATAAAAAAATGTGAATATGTGTAAAAAGCTTAGTATTCCTATTTTATTTTATGATTTATAAGTTTTTAATTAAATAATAATAAATATAAATAGTTAAAAGTTCAATCAAATAAAATATAAATATAACTCACTTGATTTATAATGAGAGTAAATTGAATTTATTGGACCATAACTTTTACCATATTAAATTATTATTTTATTTCTAAAATAAAATTAAAGATATTTTTTTTATTTCTTACCCATTAATAAAATAAAAATTATATTTTCAAGTAAATCAATTTAAAAAATATTGGATAAAAGTGGAATTCTTAATCAGGAACTGGAACTTTAATGCATTTTATGGTTCCGGTTGCGGTTCGGTTTCTATAAAAAAAATTAATTCCGGTTTCGATTCCAGTTCTTAAAAACAAAAAATTTTGGTTTCGGTTTCTTTTTGGTTTGAAAAATAGAAATCAAATTTTGGTTTCGTTTTTGAAAATAACAAAAATGAAGATAATGATTTCTTTCGGTTTTTAAAAAATGGAAAATTCCTTTTAAGTTTTGTTTATGTAAGAAAAAAGCTCATCTGTTTTGATTTTTTAAAAAATAAAATAAAATATTAATAGTGTTAATTGTCGTCAATTATTATTGTTGCCGTTAATTATAGTAATTAATACCAATTTTCAACCAGGTATCCTACCAATAGCTTAAGACTTAATGGAGGACTAAATAATTAAAATGTACTCATCACTGTTAAAAATACTTTTTAAAATACTGTTTCAAATAACCTTTTTTGTTTTTTTGTAGTTTATACATTGATTGTTATGTATCATTTTAGAATAATCACTACCTAGTGAAGTATAACAATATTTTTAAACTTCAAGATTTATATCTAAATTTGTATTGAGCTCCTTCATTTACACATTTTATAAAATGGAATATATTATTTATTTAAATAAAAAATATTTATTATTATTATATTTATTTATTATATTATAATTAATAAATAAATAATTATATTTTCAGTAGGTATTTAAATCTTTAAAATATTCACCAATTTTTTTTTTTTATTACTACATACTATATTTTTTTGAGGTTAAACTTGCATTTGGGGGTTTTAGTAAATATTACATAGGAAAATCGGTTCAATTTTTATATAGGTTATATACTGATCGCTTTATATACATAGGTAGTATAATTTTTGTTGTAAAATCTTTTATATTATTATCAATTACCTATTACGTAGAAATAATTTATACTCAGATATCTGAATTCTGTAGTTACTGGAAAATTTTTTTTTGAATATTATAAATACAAATAAAAATAATAATAGGTCTACGTATTTGTTAAGTTATTAAAACCTACTACTGACATACATAAATAAAAATAATACAATTATAAAAAAAATTGAAATTATATAAAGATATACTAATAGTAATGAAAAAACCTATAATTTTTTTCATGTGAACATCAACATGTGTCAACTTTTTTAGATTACTTAAGAGCAATTTACTTAAATAATATATACATTTTTGTATTAAGTATATTATTAATTATAAATTAGACAATTTATTTATAATACTACACATGAAATGCATACTTTTTTTGTACATATTTAACGATATGAACGAGTAACCTACTTGTATAAATGAACACTCGTTACGTTTTTAACGGGTACTTTACTTAAACATAAATAGATAACAGATATTTATAATTAAAATTGATGTTAATTTTCGAATTACACTTTACTCATTACATTTTTAAAGACAGTTAAAGTAAATTTTTAGTAATTATCATAAAATAAACAGTTTTAGTATTTTTTTGATATTAAAACCAGAGTATAATTATAATGAAAGCAAAACATCAATCTATATTAATACAGTTTTAGGTATTTCAGAAACACCACAGCTTTACCTTAGTTTTATAAAAAATTCAAATGCATAGGTAGTACATAATTCTGGGTCAGTTTTATGCTGAACTATGCTATAATTAATATTCTTTATGGTCAAATTTTAGGTTAAAGTTTAAAATCATGATGTTTTTAAATAATTAAGTTTGTTGTAATTATTCAATTTTATAACTTATAACTTGATAAAAATTAAATAAGTATAAATTATCTATAAATATTTTCATACGATTCTCATATAAATGTATAATTAATGATTATTAGGTATATAATGTTAAATATAATATTAAATCTTACTACTAATATTCAAACTAAGATTAATTTATAATCAGGTGTGGATACAAGGAGTGAGGGGCTATGGGGGCTGAAGTTTCACCCCTTTGATATCAGGTAGAACCATATAGATATGAATGTAAGTACTTAGTCGTAAGAAAGACTTTGTACAGATCAACATGCGCATTGAGTTATGATACCTAGTAATTCACTCAACTAGTCCCCCTTTTTTCATTTTTATATCTGCGCCTCTATATAATTATTATTATAGATAAGTGTAATTTATATATAATATAATACAAATACATAAAAAAATTAATCTTGTTATAAACTGAAGTTATAATTTTATTTTTATTTTTCAAGGCACCAATAAAAATATTAAATATGTATTGTTACAAAATTTTTTAATGTGTTAGGATTTTACTATTTTTGAAGGGGCATGTACCAGTTGCCCCCAAAAGTACATTTTTTTATACCAATTCCCCCCAAATTACCTAGAGCAAAATGTACCAGTTGCCTTGAATCAAATTTACCAGTTGCCCTCACATGTTAATATATACACGATTACAATATATAGCCTGTAAAATAGAGGAGATAAATATACAAGTTATAAATAAAATTATTTATAAAAATAATGTAAGATAGTATAAAATGATAAAATCAAATTTTGATATTTGCAATTATATATGATATTGTATTTTGTAATAAATAATAAATATAATATATTATACAAATAGTATGGATAAAATGGCAACTGGTCAACACCCTTTTGAAGACTTAAAAAGTATTTTCGTAGCAAGTGGTGCTAAATGGTCCAAGTCTGTTAAGCTTTTAAAAGTATTATTATTAATATAATTCTAACTATATACAATTTGGATTTTATAAGAACGTATATGAAATATATAAAAATAATATGATAAATAATAACCATTATAATTGTATAGGTATTTACTATTATTGAATTTTTATATGGTTTCAAGTTTCAACAATAAAGGGTGTCTTGATAGTAACTAGAGATGAGCAAAATTTTTCGACCATCGATATTCGATGTATCGATACATCGATTTTTAAAATATTGATGTGTTCGATGTATCGGTGAAAACTATCGAAAAAATGTTTTTTTCCCTCTAGAGCTCCATCTATTGCCACCTTATTACCTGTACAGTATACTATTTTCTTGATTAAATAATAAATTTAAGAATTAAAATACTATTGTTTAACTTATATTTTTTAAATACATATTAAATACTTATTATCAGGGCTCGTAAGTTCATGCATTTGCTTGTTTTCTTTTCTACATCGGAAAATATGCTAATTGAGATAAACATCTGTTTCATAACATTGGCAATAAAAATCTAAAGTTTAATAGAGCATGTTATGTGTGCATTGGCATACTTGTTATATAGTTGATTTTTTTTTTTGAGTTATTAGCGCATATTATTTTATGTAAATTCAGCGAAATCGTTTTTTGTGGAAGTCAAAAAAAAAAAATTAGATCAATAAATGTTTGAATTCATTCTTATTTACTTTTCCGAACTTGTTTATAAAATCTTAGTATTTAATCAATATTTTTATTTTTTAATGATATTAAATTGTATAAGTTAAAAGCAGTACCATGGAAACAATGTTACTGCACACCATGTATAGAAATAAATAAATAATTGAATTAATTAATATGAACCCCGAAGTATTATTATATTTATAATATACGACTAGTTTCGGAATTAAAAATTTATCATCCAGTGTATACAAAGTTAATAAAATCCCGACTGAAGATGAAAAAATAAGGAACACATTGAGAAAAATTGGTCGTTTCATATAGAGATAGTTAATTTTAATAGAAGAGATTATTTAAAATGAATTTCTATTAGACATATATATGTTAAGTATAAATACTTAAGTTAATCTTTATAATTATCTTAAATGTATTGATAAAAGATGTTATTTTTAAAATCTATTTATATATTTAAAACATTATTAAATTTTTTTTTTATTTCATTGCGTATGTGTAACTTCTTTAAAACTGAATTAATATAAATATTATTTTAGGTATTTAATATTTTTCAGTCTGTATTTATATAAAAATGTGTATTATAGCTATTTTCTAAAATATATTTAGCGAAATTTTAATTAGGGGCAGTCTTTTTTAATTTTATTTCAAAAATGTGTTTTTTTCTATTTTATTTTAAAATTTCTATTTTTCTCAACTACATACAATTTATTACAAAATATTTACTAAAATTTGATTGTTATACATTTCATTCAATTTTGGAATATAATAAAATAGAGTTTAAAGGTCAGAAAGTGTGGTGGGCAAAGCCCCCGTAAATTTATTTGCTCTAAAAACTTTCTACAACCATACAAATTTAACCCAATTCACACCACAAGTCAGACATATTTTACATTATGACCAGATTACATACCAAATGAACAGCGAATACATCTAATAGGTTTTATTTTAATGCATACGTATAATTTACATTTAGTCATTTAATTAAATATGTATATTAAATATTCAAATTAAAATCAAAACTTCAATTTCTGGTTTAATAAGTCATAAGATTAGCAAAATAATTCATATATATATATATTGCCTAATGTATAAATGTATAATATATACGATATTGTATATTAATATACTTGTGACATAATTATATTTTAATATTGTTAATTATATCGTATTATTTTCATATTTTTTCTTATATCTGTTTCAATACTTGTTAAAAAGTTAATTTATTTTAACTTTTTAACTTAACTAGGTAGTTTAATTGGCAATTGAAATAAGATAGCTTTTCACAGTTGATTTAAAAATGATTTATCAAATTAAAAAATTTTGAAATTTTTCATTTATTCATAAATATTCATTTTTATTAAAAATACTTTTAAAATAGTTTATGGTAAAACTTTTAAAAAGTGTTTAAAATAGGTATTTGAAAATTTAAATTAAAAAGTATTTAAAATATTTATTTAAGTACATTTGCTAATAAATATTTAAATACGAATACAAACATATTCAAAAAATATTTTAAATACTTTTAAATACATTTTTTTAAGCTTTGTTGTTGTCAGATTCTCCATTCTTAAATCATTACGACAAAATGACATTAATTTCTAATGAGTAGTGACTAACTTAATAAATTTATTTTAACGATGATTAACGAATAACGAGTGTCAAAGTATGTAAGATACTGGAATTCGGGGTGTCACCGTACTGCGATTCTATAAAATATTAATAGCCAAATAGTTATACGATACACGGAAATATTATTTTCTTCGTAATATTTTAAATATTTTTTGTCTTTAACAACATTTATAATCGTAATTTCGTCTTGTCGACGATAAGTAATTTCTTCAAAAACGAAAAACCAAACTAAAAATTTTGATCGAAAATTTTGTTTTTAATATTTTTAAATACAAAATATAATAATAATTTGAATACGAATAGTTGTTTTCCATTTACTTATTTTACAAGAAAGTATAAATAAAACCACGTTATTGTCACAATGTAAGAATTATTATCTTCTAAATACAACATTTTACCACAAACGACTGTTTTATATTTATTCCAAATCAATTTATCTTAACTTTTAATTTGGATAACTAGAACAAAAATAAATATTTAGTTTATTAACTTTTACATAAGATTTATATTTATAAAAAGTTTGATAATACACTGATTTATTATTATTTATTATTCAATTTACTAATATAACAATATTTTTCAGGTATTTTGTCAAATCAGTTGAAATTCATAGGTGTATTGTGTAATGGGAAAATGATGCTTGGAGGATGGGGTCGAAGTCCTGGGAGCAGTGGGTCCGTTCCACCGTCAGGACAACGTACTGGTCATCGACTATTGCCACTGCCATTCAACAGAACTGGAGGTGGCAGTGGAAGCGGCGGAAGCGGTGGTCGAGCCGCTGAAGCTGAAGATGTAATGGGTCATTATGGACGTAACAAGGGTGGTGTAAACAAAATACGAACTGGCCTATATTATTCCCCCCCAGGAACATCTTATACGATACTCGAAAAACCTCCAGCTGCATCACCTCCACCTCCACCACCTAGAGCAACATATCTAAGGGAGTCATCAGCTGGTGTATCTGGACCAAATCATTCAGGTAAATATTGGTTGTTATTTCGAAAATTAATTAACAAGGTTTAAAATTTGTTTTAGTTTTATTTATCTGTATTTTAATTTCTTAAATTGCATAAGTATTTTCACTAAAAAGTATTTTCATAACTTTTGTAAGTTCAAATGTTATATATCATTATAATTTATAATCTAATCAGCAGTCAAGAAAAATTAAAACTTGTCTTGAAAATTTTGTTTCAAAATACTTTTGAAATATTGTAAATAAATAGACGTCTAGTAAATAAATAACCATTTAAAAATTTTTAATTATAAAATACACCTCTTATATGATAAAATTATATCTTAATATATCTAAAATTTGTTTTGATTTGCTACATAAAATAATTATAATTAAGTGAATTTATTTGTAATGTTATTACAGTCTGTAAGATAGACTTTCCCCTAGAATTATTTAAATTTGTATTCAATTTGCTAATACTTTAAAATATTGGTATGTACATAACATATTATTTTACTTTTTAATACAAAGTAAAAAATTAATTTTATAAAATTATTTAATATAATAAATGTTTTAAATTTAAAATATTGTTTTTTTCAAAACATTTACATTATACTATTGGTCGTTAGATATTTGTTACTTTTTATACTGACAATGACAAAATAATTATAAAATGCATTTTACATTAGCGTTTTTAAATATTATATGACACCTCTTAGTAATTAAATATAGTTAACAAAAAGATTTTCTAACATTTATGTATAGAAAGTATTATGCAAATAGTAATGACTATCGAACGATTAGGAACACTTAATATTAACAAAAAATAAACTGCTGATCCAAGAAAAACTCAAAAAACGATACGATTGAGAATGAATTTATATGCAACGTTACCATAGTTTGACATATAATTTATATGGCTTTTGAAAAATTCAGTATACATACAATAAATATTCTTGAAAAAAGTCATAAACTAATAATTTTAATTGTATACAAATAAGCGCCTAATAATATGTAGTATATAATATGAATAAAAAATTAAAAATATGTAGTACTTATAAAAATATCTAATACTTGTATAGTGTATATACGTATAAAAAAATTGTAAAATATATAGAACATAAAAATATCTAATATGAATAAACGAATAGTTTGTGTGAAGACTGTAAAACTTAACCGTCATTTTTTCGTATCTGGTATCGAAGTTACTATTAACATCCAGCTAATCCGATAAAATTCCGATAAATATCATCATATCGATCGATTACAATTGGTAACATTGGAAAAAAAAATCGAGTGTTCACAATCGTGTTACTAAAAATAACATTCTCAATCGTATTTTACCGATAGTAATTTAACACATTTTATATACAATACAGTTTACTGGATATTTGTGATAGAAGTGTATTGATTGATTGATAGTAACATCACTATAACTTGATTGAACTTTTATTTTCAGAATTAAAATCATTACCCAATTAGAAATTCGCTTTAATTTAATTTTCAATTTGACCACTCTTGGCTATAGTATCATTCTGATATTTTTAAAAAAATTGTAATAAAAAGTTTTGTTCATATTCATATTCTTTGGTAATTTTAAGTTTTCGTTTTGAAGCAACACTTTTAGAATTCGTAATTTTTTATGTAATCGATCACTCATTACAATATTATTGTATTAACTAAACCCAATGGTAATTGCAGACCAATACACAGTAAAAAATAGTGATGACATGAAATAGCAGTAGTTGTGGTTTTTTCACTGTGATTAAAAATTAGCTGTCATAAATTGCTACTCAGATACTAAGATACCAGTGACTGCTACTTTTTGTTTATTATAAATGGGGCTGATACCTAGTGAATATGATATTGTATTAACACCTCATTTTTATTATAATATTTTATTATTAAATAATTAATATCGTCATACTATGATATTAGCATAATGCATATGTTACGAATTCAAGTACAATAATGGTATTAATGGGTATTTAAGTATTTATATTTTGAACCTACTATGTTATTGTGATGACATTTTTGATATTTACTTATTATATAAAACATACAATGCTATGCAAATAAAACAATTAATATAATAGTAACTGATAAAATATTTATTTTTGTCTTATTTATTAAAATTATATTTATTTTAAAAATAATTTTTTAACTACGATGTTGTCGAGGCTTTTATTTAATATAAAAAATAAATAAATAATGTTAAACAAATTTTATTACATATTTCAAACGCAAGGCCCCAAATTTAAGCAATAAGCGCAAAGCCCAAGATCTGGGAACCTCCGATGGATGGCCTTGATATAAATATATATATATATATATATATATATAAGCTAAATACGAGTAATTAATTAAATCACTTTTATCCAATTATTTATGAGTTGTGACGCGAAAATAAAATTATATAATTTATGTATTATAAACAACATTGTATGTAGGTACTGAATTGTGATTTTCTAATATCTTGTTCTATATTTTTGACAAGAATTTAATGAGAATTGTTTTTAATTTCATGAAACACAATTTTAAGACATACAGAATATTAAGAATATTGCATAGCTTTGCCATTAAATATGACATGACTATTATTCTGTTTGAATACAGAAAATACATAATCAACTATAAAATTAATCAAATACCTTACAACAAAAGATTTTACTTAATAAAAATAACCATAAATGGATGATAATAAATACATTTTTATAGTAAGTTTGATGTATAATGATACAACGATTTATAGTTATGTAAATAAAATTAATATAAATAAAGAGTTTATGCACAGAATTAATAAATAAATGCTTTGTCTGAAAATTAATAAAATTAATTAATACAACAAATTCTTGCATGTTTGATAGTGAATTTTTAATTCGAAACCGTTCATCTATTACAATTATAATAATAATACTTCAAGCTAAACATTTATTTATTAATTTTCTATTTATTGAATATTATTTTATTTTTTTATAATTTTATGAAATATAGTTATTGAACAGATTTACAAAATTTATTTTATTTAATTGGGTGTATTGAAATAAAATTTGGTTCATAATTAGTACTTGTAATACATAAATTTATAATATGTGTACCAAGTAATACTTTTATATACTCTAGCTAACAATTTAAGAATTTAAGTATAGCACAACGTGTATATTATCTTTATCTATATGGTCTTTAATTATATTTTAAATATATAGACTACGCATTTATTTTTTAAATAGGCACTGGTAGCATGCCCCAGGCACATAATAATCGCTCTAATAATGCTGGCTCACGCGGAAGTTCTGGAAAAAAGAGGCCTATTTCACCAGAACAAGTTCTTAAAATGTTTACAGCGCCTAATTACAATGCGTCTTCTTCTTATCATGTGTCTAATACTAAGCCGCAATCACCACCACCACATGGATCAAATACTTCGCAATCACATAACACATCATCGACAATACACAATGATAATCTTACAGTACGTACGATATCTATGTCGAGACCTAATGTAACTTCAGGAAGTCCGTCCAGTCAAGGTTTTGGTATTTGTGTTAAAGGTGGCGCAGATGAGTCAAGTAAGTATACTAATTTTTTCTCATGTATTCCGAAATATGATAGTTTTAAACAATATATTATACTAGTCATGATTATAAAATATGATATAACGTTCATATTTTATCGATTTGAAACATAGTTACCATATATTTAATTTAGTAATATCACATTATTTTAAAACGTATATGAGCATAAATTGGCTATTAATATCTACCTGCTAAATTTTTTTTTTCAATAAAAATTGTTGAAATAAATATAAAATATTTCCGTTATTTTTCTAAACTTTTAAAACTTCTCTATATTTTGAAACATTAATTATAATGAAAATATTGGAGTCTAATTTTAAAATAATTATTGAGTTTTATGGCATCACTGTAGTTACTTTACTAGTATTAACCGTATATAATTGTATGTAGACAAGCTAAAGTAATAAAATTAAACTTTTAATAATTATTACTTTTTCTTGAATGTTTGACATTGAAGAAAAAGAAGGTCATACACGTAAGAAATAATTTTTTTAGACTTTCCAGAATAAAAGATTTAATCGTAAATATAGACAGGTTAATTATACTTCTTGATGTTATAAGTATTTTTTCTATCCTATAATAAACATCAATAAAAAATACTACATTTCTTATTTGTTTCTTCTTTTTTTACTATTAATAAAGTTTCCAAAGGTTATTTATTAATTTATACTGTCATATTTTATATTGAGATATCCCTTTTTAATTTATATATATTATGTTTATTTTAATTTGTTTATTCAATATATCATATACGAGTATTATATATTAGATCAAGTTAATCTGGCATATAAATAATTAAGTATAAGATATATCTAGCTACATATGTATTATAATAGAATAGAGCATATTTTATTTTTTTTTATATCTGTAATAATGTCAAAGTAGGTAATATAAAAAAATGTTGATGTTTATCATACATTTGTGATACATGTTTGTCATAAAAGTTTTCTTCTTTTTCTCCTTTGCCGTTTTTCTAACTATTTTGGATTGACCAATTTAGTCCTAAATCTCCTCGTCTCGATTTTCTACATCCCCTACGTACACATCAGAGGCTTTCATATAATTCTTAATCGTAATCAACCATCTATTTTTTGGTCTTTCTTTCCTTCTTTTCCCTTCAACGTTTATTTCATAATCACTTTTATTGCTTTTGTTTCCTCTCGCCTCATCGCATGCCCAAACCATCTCAGTCTATTTTCTCTCATCTTATCCCTTATCGATGCTACACCATACTACCTCTAACATATTTGTTCCTCATTCTATCTCTCTTTTTACTCCACTCAATGATCTAAGCATTCTCATTTCTACAACACTCATATTCTGTTGTATTCTTTTGTCGATCAACAACACTTTAAACCATACAGCATAGTTGTAAACTCACTACATTTCTGTAAAATTTACTTTTCAGCCTCGCTGGAATTTTCTTATCACATAAAACGCACAACACTTAAAGAGCCATTTTATCCAACTGCGCTTAATCCTGTGTCAAAGCCACGTCATTTTGTATCAATGATCCTAAATATTTAAAGTTCTCAACTTCACCTGTCACATCATCGTTTATTTATAATTTTATTTTTATTTATCATCACTCATAGATTTCCTCATTCCCTCAACTTCTTGGTATCTTCCTCCAAATTTATACTTTTTATACTCTGTTTTATTTCTAATAATTCTCGTTCTCTTTCTTCAAGGGCTAACCTCCACTCATCTAACTTATTATTAACTTCTTCCAGATTTTATCCTATTAAAACTATATAACACGAAACATCATACATCGTGGTATTTCGCCCTGTATTTCTTTTATAACTTCATCGTACTTAATGTGAATTTTATAAATATTAAATATATTTATTTTGATAGATGTTGGAGTGTATATTTCGCGAGTAGAAGAAGGAAGTATAGCAGAGAGCGTTGGTCTTAAACCAGGAGATTCAATTTTGGAAGTAAACGGGAGGCCATTTTCAAGTATTTCACATGAAGAAGCTTTAAAAGTATGAAATAAAAATGTATATTGAATTAAAATGATTTTAGTAATTTAATATTTTTTTTATTAGATTTTTAAGACTTACCGACAAATTACCATGACGGTAAAATGTCCATCGCCACCTCAATCGATGTCTACCATGCACAAAAAAGATGATAATGAGAACACTAACCAAGATGAAGCGTGGGGATTGAGCAGGACGTATTCATGGATAAATCGTAAGGGCCAACCAGTCTCCCCACCTTTAGAATATGCTAAACCAATTTCCCCTTATTCAAAATGGTCCTATACTCGTTCATCTAAAGACAAAATAAGAAAAGTAAGTTTTATAATGAATTTAAATGTATTTTTCTATGTTTTTTCTACAAAAATGATTTAAGGTGGAATTGGTGATTGAACCGGGGCAAAGTCTTGGTTTAATGATTAGAGGAGGAACCGAGTATAATTTAGGTATTTTTATCACTGGTATTGATAAAGATTCTGTTGCCGATAGATCAGGACTAATGGTAAAACTTAATTTTAATTATATTTTGTGTAATTTGATTGCTGTCAAAATATTTTTCTTCAGATTGGTGATCAAATTTTGGAAGTAAATGGTCAATCGTTTTTAAATTTATCACACGATGAAGCAGTAAATCAATTAAAATTTCAAAAACAAATGACCCTAACTGTTAGAGATGTTGGGAAAGTTCCTCATTCTTGCACAACGTACAATCCAGATACTTGGAATCATTCTATTGACAAGTAAGATCAAAATTATATTTATTGCATACTTAACCTATTAAATGCAATAATTATACATTTCTTATGTAACTATTGTGTAGTTTTTAAAAAATTATTTATGTATTTTAGGAAAAATTTTTATCATACTTCTTAACATAAAAGCTTCAAATTATAGTGAATAGATTGCTAACATATATTTTATTTAGATTCATTTATTTAGTTAAGATCAACATGTAATACTTATAAATTTGTTTGTTTATAATCAATAGATATTTCTATATTTAATGTTAGTTGGTATTGAGTTTAGTATATTTTAAATATTGTTTAGAACTTTTTATCGGTGTTGATTTATTCATTGCATTTGAGATAATTCCTAAAATAAAACTATCAAAATATGAACATTTTTGGTCATACAAATATATTCATTTTTTAAAAAAGTTTAATTATTCTCGAGATATTTGTAAGATAATTTTTTAAATAAAATTTAAAAAATGGATAAAAACTTAAATAAAAGCATACAATAATATTAACCATTTCATTTATATGAATATAATTTATGTAATCGAACAGAAAATTAAAAAAAAAAAAAATTAAAAATGTTTTGATATACGTTTTTCTCTTAATAATTGATATAAAGAAGATTTTTACCATTACAATGTTATAATATAAATATACCACTTTTTTTAATACTACTTATATTTTATTTGTGCATGTACATTATTATAATATGATTCTATCTAATACATACAAGCCAAAATATTATGACTTTTTAAACTATCTCAATTTTTTAGTATCAATAAATTGTTTATCACAATTTTACAATAGTAAATATTATAAATGAGGATTGAGTAATTTTGCATTAATTATTAAAAATTTCAGTTAAACCCAACTAAAAACAATGAGAAAATATTAGTATATTTAATAGTGAGTAAAAATTTAGTAAAATCGATCAATATTAAGGATATGAATATTACTCTTCACATATAAAATTTAATATTTACTTTCTAATTAAACAAACAATATTTAGTAATAATATCCTTCAAATAATTTTTAACTTTTAGAGTATATTCATTTGCATTTGTAAATTGTTTTCTTTTAATTGTTCATATTGAAGATAAATTTAATTTAATTTTCTTTTACTTGCTTATCGAGTCTTGTTTATTAATATAAAAGATTAAATTTTTTTATAAAATGTTAAGGTTTGTAAGATAAAATATTATATTTTAAAGGTATTTAATTTTTTTATATATTTCTTTTTATATTATTAGAAGCACAAAATATTTTGAAATTTTAAATAAAACACTCTCTATCCTTTTTTTACCCTAGTATGGCCAGATGCTTAATTGGTAGTTATTCGACTTATTGTAACTAATATATGTTTTGGAAGATCAACAAAATATCAACCATGAAAAAGGTAAAATTCAATTATCGTCGAAAATATACTCTATTTTCTTAGGTTTCTTTAAATTAAGTAATTTTGTCATTTAAGTTATATTAATTGATATATAGATGGAGAAATTTGTATACTTAGGAAAAAATATGATTCAAAAAATGTAAGATACTGCATAGTAATACAATTTCACTAGTCTAAAGTTCTTATTAACATAATTAAATAAAAATTAAATCCAATGTTATAATTGTTAAATATATGTTGTTTAGGATTTTGAGTTATACATTGGCTAACCAAAATATTTGATTTTAATTAAGTGAGCGAACTTTTGTAAATATTGGTACACATTCAATATTTTATGAGGTGTAAATTTGTTTTAAAATATTATATTTATTTAATTCTATTAGGAGCAAACCATTAAAGTAAAAGGTTTTCCTTTAATAACAATTTGGAGGTGTTAAAATATAATAATAATTCATCTTTATTGAATTATAATTTAGTGTTATTAATTAAAATAAAAATAAGATAACGTATTTATTTTATTTTTATGCAATTATTTCATTAATATTCATCAACTAAATAATAATCTATAAATCGTTTATATTTTTATATTTAATATTATTTAAAGCTTAAATATTATTAAATCTAACTTAGCAATATTAATTTTAGTGCTGACGGTGCTTTGAAATTAGGGACTTCAGCTGCATCTCAAATGGTAGAGGAAAAAGCTCGAATTTTGCTGACGAAAAATGAATTTAATACTTTGCGGTATTATTTGGATGAGTATTCGTGTTCTCGAATGTCTATTGACGCATTTATTACTATACTTTTTGAATTGCTCAATACAACTGATAAGGTGAACAAAAATTTAGATTTGTAATTATTATAAAAAGTACACTTCAAGCTTTTTTAAAAACTAGAAATATCTACATTAAAACAGGAAAGCAAAATGGAACAATTTAAACATAAATATTATATTGAATTCTGAACATTTATTTTCTGTAGTTTTTGTTTAAATTGATCCATTTCATTGTCTCATCAAATGGTTATGATTATATTAATTACGGTCTGGTTTTTTAGTTTACGCTGTTGACGGAATTGCGCGAACTTATAGGTCCCTCAGATCGAGACCGATTTGATCAGTTGGTTTATAGAAGAGGACGGGAATCCAGAAAAACGCACTCCCGAGTAAGAATGTCATTAAAAATTATACGCTTGCCTAAAGGGGAAAAATGCCTATTGTATTGCATACTTATATATTTCAGAAACTCGATGGTTTTAATTCAAATATAGCCGGAGGACAAAGTAAAGGATTCGATTTTCCTAATGAGAATTCTGGGATGGATATTGGGACTATTGATTATTCAGATTCAAATTATAGGACTAGGTACTCAATTAATATTACATAAAAAATTCTTATTATCAATATTAAGTTAAATTAAAGTCTTCGATTAAATATATTTATGTCAAATAAATGTATTTTCTGTGAGTTATTTCTACTTTGAAAAATTATTTGATTGCCTATTTTATGTAATAATTGTCATTATTATATTTCTATGTGAGTACCATAATTTTATTTAAGTATAAAAATTAGTGATTAACAATTATTAAAATAAATATTTAGAAGTATAAACTATAAAACACAAAAATGTATAAAAATGTCTCGCAAAATAAATAATACATACCAATGCATAAAATTCAGATTTATAAATAATTAAAACAGTTACTAATGTTATTTGAAATTTACCTTACCTAGAACATATTTTGATTTGGGTTTAGTATACTTGAAGATAATATATAGATTATAGATCTAGATTATACTCTTAATGTATAATCTGTATTTGTTGTATTTTTTTAAATTTTTTTGTGAATGTTACATTCATCTTCAGTAGTATTTTATAAATTTAAAACCATCTTTAGATTTCTTTATTTTTTAATTTTTCTTTCAGTTACAGTATATTTATTTATAAATTCAAAAGTTTCAGTGATTAATGTATAACATCGAATATTTAGGTAAATATTGAATAAATGATAGATTTATTAAGATCCATTTCTTCGTAACAACATAAAATTTAGAGAAGTAATTTTGAGTATATTATATTAATAATTTAAAAATATTGTAGAACATTTGATTATGCTTATGTTATGTGAAATATGAGTATATTGTACCCATCATTTTTTGCGTATGAAAATTAATGTTAATAAATTCATTCATTCTCATATTTTTTTTAGTAACTTATTTGTAAATAATATAGCATTATATTGTTGTAAATAAAAAACTCTGTTTAGATAATTGAATAATAGTATTTATATTGTTATGACTGAAGAGTTATGTTTAATTTTAGTACTGATAGAAAATCAGAGGGAAAACATTCTCCGATGAAAACCAATGAACAATCCCATAGAGACATGGAAGTTGAAGAATTCGAATATAGCCATCAAGTAAGATATAATTCAATTTAATAATGATTAATATAGATTCTTTTGATCCTCATATGTATTTATTTAGGATTATGGTGATTTGGAAACTGAGCTTTTACCAAGAAAATATCATAACGAGTTGATTGATGTTGGTTATACACATCGAAATTCAGGCATTTATGATGAATCTAATATGACTAGGTCTTCGGTAAAGTACAATATAGTAATGTTATTAGTTTAAAACATTAGAATTGAATCATTTTAAATAATGTATAAACTACATTAAATATCCAGTCAAAATACTTTACAGAATAGGTAACTCGTAGGTATATCAAGTAATATTTTGTTATTTTTAATTTATTCGATACAATTTCTTGACTTCTGGTGTTACATTACAATAAGACATAATTCAATAGTAATTTACTAGATAATTTATCAAAAATCAAAATTATCAGTTTAAATAAGAAAAGTTAAAATTATTTGATTTAAACTAAATATTAATACATCGTAAATATGAATAATATATTAATAAAAATATATTAATATATATTAAAAAAATTTTTAGCATATTTAATAAATAAAAAAAATTAACATATATAAAAAAACAAAAATAATTAAACTGCAGAACAATGTAATAGTATCAAAATAATTTAATTTTTATTGTTAACAAATAATATTTAATACTAAAAAAATATAAAATAATATTTTTCTTTTCAATTCGGTTAAAATATACCTGTTTTTAATCTTGGAAATATTTTGGTTTGATAGAACAGAACCTATTTTAATTGCTCCATCTTGAAAATTATTATATTTACAAACAATTTCTAGGTATCAATGTTTTTATTTAAATATGGAAACAAAGTGTCTTATACACATAAATATTACATATTATAATGAACTACATAGGTATCTATATTAGTTATTAATATATTTTAAAATATTATTTGTACTCATTTTATTATTTGACCGTATTAATAAAACTATCTAGTTCTCTAAGTTTGTCATGTGTATCATATATTTTAACAGCTGATTATATACTTATATTATAGAAAAATCTTATATTTGCTCAAAAATACTCCTATAAAATAATATTTTGTAGTGATTTATGAAAATTAATTACTTAATTGTATTTCAAATAAAAATTATAAATTCTATAAGCACTGTTAGATTTAGCCATTTAGTTTAATTTTAATATACGAGTAAAGTGCATGAGTGCCTTATTATACAAACCCACATAATCTATTGGTATAATGGTTATTGGTTACGATTTACTTAAGGAAGTACCTACAAACTCTATTTTGTACGGTGTCGGTACACTAGTACAACGGTTAATGTATATTTAAATTGGATTTGGTATAACAATAGCTGAAACACTTATTTGTAAGTCACAATTTAAAAATTAGTTATAATTAATTGGATACTTTTTACACTTCATTTTTCTTGTATTTTGGTTTTACGGTAGATCATCAATTTAGTAATATTAAGTATGTATAGAAAAAAAATAATATCATAAAATAGTATGAAATTCAGTACATTTTCATTATAACTCATTAATGTAATTAGATCGTGATAAATCTAACTTAAAAATTAAATTTATATATAAATAATAGAAAACATTGTAGTTCTTTAGAAAATTATTTTATTTTATCATTTACATTCATATGTTCATTAAAGTTAAAAATTTAAAATGTATCAATCATACTGTTTGTTTTACTATTTTATTGATTTAAACTAGATCGCTATATTTTTTAAACTATAATTTTTTAGCGTGGTTGATTATTTAATAATAATTTGTTATTTATTTACATTGCATGTAATCGATTAAATTACATTAATTAGCTGCTAATTAAACCTTGTTAAAATCAGTCAAACTCATTTTCATGCAACCTATAAAAAAAAAAAATACACGAAGGTAGAATAAAACAACTAATACGAAAAAAATCATTAATATGTGAAGTTTAAAAAAATTGTTTTCTCAAATTTAATATATTGTATAAAAAAACTATTTAAAACGAATTAAGAAATTTAAACTAATTATAAAAATATTTATTATAAAAATTGAAATGGATGAAAATAAATGTTACTTGGGTAGTATTTTATTTAATGAATTTGCTTCAAGTGTAAAATTTTATTTTTGTCCGAAATATAGTGAAGGGAAAATACAGTTTTATATTTTGGATATAACAAAATTTTATTAGGTATAGCAAAAATTATTTTATCCATAACATAATAATTCAGTGTATCCCAATCGATTGGTAGTACATGGCAATTTACTATAATGAACTAACAATGTTCTGCTAAGACATTTTAGATATTTTAGATGTCCATAATTACACTTTTTTCTACTATTTTACTACTTTTATTACTAGTATTCACCAGACTATTACATTTTTTTTAAAAACTATTTTCCAATAAAAATGTATTATATTTAATATTGAAGAAATTAATAATTCAACTATTGTTACAAAATATTTGTATTTTTAAAAGAAAATTCATCATTGTCTGTGAATCAAAATTTTGTTGTGATCCAAAATTTAATTGGTAAAACTAAAACTTAATAATTTTAAAATTTTTTTTGAAATTGTGACTTTAATAACTAGCTTAATATATTTAATTTTATATGTAAACAATATAAAATGTTTAAGTCTTCAATTTTATAAATTAAGACTCGAAAAATGTTGTTTTCAAAATATTACATTTATAGAAAAGTTATAAAAGGATTAACTTTTGATAAAACCTTACCTCATTTGTAATATTACTACAATAAATGATAAGTATATTATAATTACATTATTTATTTAATAATTTTTATTTTTTGATTTGGCAATACTTATACGAGAATTTAAAAACTGACCTCTTTTAGTACATTAATCATTCAAGATTAAATAAAAATAACAATAATAATATTACAATTTAATCAAGAATTAAATAAAGTGTAAGATATTTTTTATTAATCAATGATCATGCTGTAATCAGTTATCAGTATATAATTTATAATTATATAATATATATATATATATAGTTAATTATATTTAATATGAACAAAATTAATTCATGAATGTTATTTAAATTTGAAATAAAATAAAATTATATTGAAAATCAACATCAAACAATGAACCGATAAATGTCTTAATAAGTATCTATTCTAATTAAGAAAAATATGTTAAGTTAACTTTATGGAATAATGTACCTATGTAGATATTTGTTCGAGGAATTTATGAATTTTAAATAAAATTAATTTATTCTAAGACTACATTTTACTTAATAATTATTTTTAATTATTATAATATTTTATAGGTGTTAATATATTAAGTAATTTTATTACGTTTTAAGATTTGAAGATGAAGTGTTTTTTTTTTTTGGTTCATTTTTGTTAGGTACTTGTTATTTTTTAATTATGCATAATATATTATATTCCAAGCATTGAAGTATAAAACAAGTTTATTAAAATACAAATAAAATTATAGATGTAGCCCTCACTAGCTAATACTAATATATGTGGAAGTGCACTTGTCAGTAGTATCCCCACTTTCCTATCCACATAGACAATTTACTTCATTATTATTTCTTTCGGTAAATTTCAAATTTTATGAAACTATTGAAATTTATTTTATTTAATATCTGTTTTGAAATAGTATCTACTCAAGGATATATATTTATCTCATAAATTAATTAAGTTGTTATATTATTTTATTTCTCTGGTTAAATTGGTCTTGAGTAGCGCATTTATTTTTATTTATGACAGTAAAATTTTATTGAAATTTGTATATGTTTTAAATTGACTACATGAATTCGATAAGAAAAACTATTTAAATAAATTATAAACAATAAAAATAATTACATACAATTTTATTGCTACTTAATTTATAGGTATTTTTTAAATTTTACGCAAATAACGTTGCTGATGCTTTCAGAGTGGATACTTGGAGGGACTGCGATCCCACTTAGGGGGATGGACCCAAAAATTGAAATCCTGGTACTATGGAAGTTCTCTAGTAAGTTTCAGCTGATGTTTCAGTTCCATTTAGTTTTGTATGTGAACCAAGTAGTTAGATATGTTTTCTTTAGTTTTGGAACACCGTCTTCTATTTTCATCTATAACTAGAATTTTATCTTATATTATCTTATTTACTGCTCTGTGTTTATATGTTTTATTTAGTTGATCTATAATTCATTTTAGAGCTTCTAAAGAACTGTAGTTTCAATTTATATTTCTTATATATCTGTAACAATTTTTTCAAATAACAAACCTTCAAATTAAAAATTTGGCATGTTTTATAATCCTTTAGTGTTTCAGCTACTTAAGACCATAATCCAAAATTATACATAGGTAAATTAATTTTTTGTACATACCCTGTAAGTGCACTTCAGAGTTAAAATAACTTAATGGCTTTTTTTTTAATTTACTCACTGTATCACGAATATTTTTTTTATATAAATAATGGTATATATATAATTTTGTACTTAATAAAATATGGCTTTCTTTATTTCACAATTGTTATCAATTTGGTTTTTATTTTTAATAAGCAGGGTCCGTTAAGTAAGTATTTATTTGTTATAAGATAGGTCAGAATAAAAAAAAAAATCCTTTAAATAACTATAACTTTAAATTACTATAATAAATAATCCCAGATTTCGTTTATTATAATTTTTTTTTTTAACTAAATATACTATTTATTATTAAAATTACCGACTACAATACAAGACATTGCTTTGTTTAAAATTTGAAATAATAGTTTTTTTTAAAAGGAATTACCATTTGTCATCAATGGTTAAATATTTGTGTTATCAATTCTCGATGCCTATTTCGTGTAGTAATTCTCTAATGTTCAACAGACATATAAGTGCTAACATTGAGCATGTGTAGTCGCTATTATTGTTTGATTTTATATAAAAAAAATTTTTACAAATCATATCATCCGATTTAAAATTTTGACTCATTATTTATCATTTAAATTTATGTACTGTATTTTAGTAACCTATAGTGGAGTTTTAAGTTTATAAAAATTGGTTTTAATCATTTTAAATTAGGGTGGTCTACAAAATCGAAGATAATTAATGTTGAGTTCATACCACCTAATGTTTTACTCTATAGTCTAAAAAATAATTTACTAATTAATATTTATAAAATAAAATAATTTTTGAGTCATCCCAAGCAACTTAATTTTTATTTTGTTTATAAAATATATGGTACTAGTAAAATTAATATACTTATTACAGTCACAATTGTGTTATTTTCGTAAATCATCAATAACTATAAAATATGAATGTAGTAATTTTTGTATTTTATAAATATCATTACATTTTATAAAATTAATCAATAACCCGACGATAGTACATGCGCATAAGTTATTAATGATAATCGTGTGCGCGAACTGTTGATGAACGTACATTTTAGCTCTTTATGTTTTTATATGGTTTTTAATTAAATAAATGTATGTAATATTATTTACTTTTAGATTTTTGTCATTATAAACTTTTTGTGTAATGCTTATCGGTATATTAAAACAGTATGTGTAATCAAACGCGGATAAAACTGGGAGAGGGGCTATTGGGCTAAAGCCTTCCTTAAATATTAGGTAGAATCATATCGGACATAGGTACTTAAAATATTTAAAAAATTAGACGTAAGAAGGACTTCGTACAAATCGACATGCACAACAAATTATGACAGTAATTCACTTTACTAGCCCCCCCCCCCATTTTTAATTTTTAGATCCGCGCCTGTGTGTAATGTCAATAATTAAAATAAAATACTGTGACTCTGAAAATGCAGTTTTAATTATAGAGTCATTTTTTCGTGTGTTTTTATAGGTAAATTGATATTAATTCTATAATATCAATTTATTTAGTAAAAATAAAAATTAGAACACGGAGTCAAACGCATATTTACTTGATTGATCAATCTATTCCTAATGTTCCTAGTATTCGATTACCATCTAATGGTGAAGCATTAGGTATTTTTTTCGTGTTTATCAAACTGAAATTTTTTTTTTTTAAATATACATGTGCTAAAATTTTTAAAGTATTATTGATATAGACTTGGAATAAAATAACAATATCGATAACTCGGAAATATAAAGATCTAAATAAGTTTACAAAGCCCTATAATCAATGGTTTAATCTATTAAAATATAAAGATAGATAAACAGAGCTTCATCGTCAACAAGAATGTGGGTTTCGTTAAAAAATTGCCAATCTATTTGATATTAGTGATGATAATGTTTTAAAAAAACGGTTGATAAAGATATACAGTTTTTACCAGCACAACGAGATCCAGGAAGAAACTTTTTTATGTCTACATTGGACGTTATTGCTACTCAAAAAGAGAATTGTAATAAAGAGTGAGAAGAAAAATTACGGCTTTAAAAAGAAAATGTCACCAATCGCAATTCAAGAAGTGCTCATGATTTCGCATCATTAGATACTATAGATCAGTGATGCCCAACCTTTTTCCTTTGGGGAGTCACTTTGGTAAACAATTATCTTCAAGTGGGCCACAAAGTATAAAAGTACAAAAATAATCTTATATATTGGACTTGTTTTCTTACTTTTTATTGTTTATTGAAAAGATTATGAATTGAAGTATACATAATTGTATTTTTTGGAATAATTATTTAAACGAATTCATAAATTTAAATAAAAATAGTATAATAAATAAATAAATAATTTAAACATTTTTTCATACATTTTTAAATTTTTTTTTTATTTTAAAAAATTCGTAATGGGCCATATAGAATACCTTCGTGGTTCACATGTGGCCTGCCGGCCGCGGGTTGGGCATCACTGCTATAGATAATAATTTTAGTGATAGTTATTTAGATGATAATTTTCTCAAGTTAAGAAAAAAAAAATCAAAACATGTTTATTGAAGAAAGAAGAAACTAATATCTTTAATAACTACAGAAATAGCATCTATGTTAGGTAGAACTAAAGTCGGTTAGCAACTTTTACTCTTGGAGCTTCAGTAAAAAGTCTTGGCGAAGATATTGATGCTTTCGTATGATAAAACGATATCAACGACATCGTGAGAAACTGAGGCAAGAAATAGCTGGTTTTATAAACCATGTACGGCATAATATAACCCAACGTGATTTAAAAAATCTGCAGCTTCATGAATGGCAAATAAAAAGAATGAAAATTTTAATAGAAATTAGTGTCAAACATTTCTGAGAAACTGGAATAAGTAAAAGTTACTTAGAAGCAGAGAAAGTTTATAAAAAACTTCAAATAACCAATAACTTGACAGAAAGGGGAGTTGCATTGATCTAAGATTTAAAATAACCTATGATGAAAACCAACTTCTTTACAACTAGTTTCTGAGTACCGAAAAAATTATCCTGATTACAGCAAATCTGTTCTTAAAACAAAAAATTCAACTGTTTCATTATGATTTTTTTTCTTTAATTACTTAAGGAAAGGCATCCATCATCAAAAATCCATGAGGAGACACGTATGATTGATGCCTCACTACCTCTCGACGATCGTTATCTATAGGTCCGTAGTTAGTAGGTCTTTGATTTCAATGTATTTGCATCTTTTTTTTGTTGGAATGTCTAACACAATGCTTTTCCAACTAAAAATGTATTTCAATTGTTCCATGTTATAACCATGACATTTTTCTGGGGGCATTTTTTGCACTTTTAGCGGATTTTATACTTTTTAGGTCATCTTTTATGTTTTTAATACCTTTTAAAGTTTTTTAGGATATTATCAACCTATTTATCGTATTATGATTAAAACAATTGATTTTATTGTAATAAACATTGTACTACGTAATATAGATCAATTTCTTTTTAAACAATAAAACATCAGGCAATTTGGTTTTAAATTAGACAATGATGAAATATATCTTTATGTCACACCAATCAATTAGTCAATTTAATTGTATACAACTTATCGGAATATTCTCTTATCGAGCGATAATATTATACCAGTGGTGCGTGTGGCTGATTGTTGTATAGTATTCAGCCTAGTTACACATTACATTGAAAGTACTGATAGTAAGATATGTTGTACATGATACATATTTTACGAACATTTGTATTTTTTTTTTTATCGTACAAACGAAATTAAAATTAAAATGCCTTAAGAAATGGCAATTTTACTTATGGCATTTTAACTATAAACTAATGAAAAAAAGCTTAATTTTAAGTTAAGTCAGGTTGGTCATTTTCAGTATATAAAAAGTTATTGGCAAACAACCGTCGATCATTTAAATCTCAAATTATTAAAGACGGTCTCATTTTACAATGTAAATTACATTTTAACACTTATTTTTTAGGTTTTTAAAACGTTAAATGAATAAATAAATACTGATAATAATAAATTTAATTTTAAATACATTTTTTTTATATTTTCATGTCATTTAAATCTGAGCCTTAATAATTAGTATCTAGAATTTCTAGAATTCGTTTTCTCAAGGTAAAGTTTTGTACTTGGGATATGATTAAATAACAGAATAAATTTAATTTATATTTAATATAAATTAATAGTTATAATATTTTATGTATAAGTGTATAATAGACAGGAAAAGCGAGGAAGAGATATATCTCATGACCCCCAATGGATGCCTTTGAACTTAAATAATAATTAATATTTTCAGAAATCTATTAAGGTAATAATTAAAAGTTGACATAATAATATAATATGACTTATTGATTTAAAAATAAAAATAAAAAATGTTATACATTATGAATCAATTTATATCACTAATTTATTAATACGTACTTCAATAATTAATATTATTCATTTGGCTTAGGATGACTCAAATAATAATTTAAAATGCTTTTTTTATTAAACATTAAATTTGGAAGTATAAAAAAAATTTTTAAGTGTAAGAATATAATTCTTCAAAAAATTTATTTTTTGTCTATTTTTTGATCCACACTACTACAAATATAAATATATAACTTAATCAATTGGCCACAATACAGATAGTAATTCATTAAAATTACCTAAATTAAACTTACAGTATTTATTATATTAATCTTGTAGCGATATATCTCAAAATATTATAATAAAGACAAGAATATAGTTTTTACTAGAGGCTAATAATAAAAAAAAAAAAAAAGACAAGAATACATTTCTTATGTTTTATATCATATTTTATAGTTTGAGCATTATTTTTAACTTAAACAATAGATAACATATTAGACATAGGTATCTTTTAACTCAATATAACTAAAATTATGTTACATACCTATATCTATATAATTGTATATATGTTACTACTACAGTTATTTCTAAATATATTTTTCAATTATTAATATTGGTTTCTAAAGATTGGAGTATAACCAAAGAATATCAAATGTCAAGTACAAAAAAAAAATTCATTGCTACCAAATTTTTTTTAACAACATTTTATTTTTGAAGATATGACGAGACTACATTTTCTGTAAAAATGAATATAAAATAAAATTTTACAATGTGTTATGTCATCTTGTATTATTTATTGGAATAGTTTTAAGATACATTAAAAGTTATGTAGCGTGATTTGTGCAGGATAATAATCTTATAAAACTTTATATGGCTAGTTAAATAAAATGTTATCCCATAACAATTAATAAATGATTACATTTTTTAAAGCAATTATCAAATAAACATGGGCGATCATATGATGGTAAAAATGAATTGCTGGACGAGGATGGAAGTTATCGAAGAGAAAGTGGTTTTATAGAATCATCATGTTCAAACGTACAAAATGAATCTCAGGTAATGATGATGTTTAATGTAATTTAAATGGTAGATTGTTAAGTTAAATTAACTATAAATGAAAATTTGAACACCAATTAATAAATTAAAATAATCACTTGAAATAAGTATATTCTTTCTAAAAATATATATTTATTTTATGTTGTATATTATTTACAAAAAATATAAATATTTTTGAATAAATTATAAAACAATAATAAACATAAATAAAATATTATAAAAACTTCAAAAAATTTAATACGCATAAACTATTAGGTAATTGTTTAATCAATAATAATATAATTTTAGTAGATCAAAAAAAATTTTCAATATAGAAAAAACCTCATTGTATTTCAAATATTAGTCAAAATGTTTTCCTTACATGGTTGAATTTTTCCTATTTGCATATTATTATAAACTCTTCGGATAGTATCTACTTCTTCCTACATTATTAATTAATAAGCAAAAATATAGAACTATTCATTTGAATACTTCTTAATATAAATTATAAAATAAAACATAACAAAAATTATTTATGAATGGAATGATCTTATCAAGATAAGCCTATTTAGGTGTCAATCAATAAAACTACATACGTAGAGGGAAATTACATTAAGAATATATTTATTGGGAAATTATGTGATGAGCCTACTAATCTAATACTACCTAACTATGAAAAACTTGAAAAATCAAATCATCATACAATAGCAAAACTGTTTAATGACTCCATGAGTTTACTCTGGTCAAGTGGAGTAAAACACGAAAATGTAATTTTGTTTGTGAGTGGTGCAGCTCTTTATATGGTGAAGGCAGGAAAGCATTAAATATTTTTTATCCAAAGCTAATACATCTTACATGTTTAGCGCATGGTTTTCATCATGTGGTAGAGACAATCAGGGCAGAATACCTTATCGTCGATTCTCCCATAGCTAATGTAAAAAAAAATGTTTTGAAAGTTCCTAGCTGTACTTCAATCTTTTAAAAAATTATACCCTGATCTTTCTCTATCACCCGAGCCCATAATTACTAGGTGGAGCACATGTTTGGTAGTTGCTCAATATTTATGTGAACGCTTTTTGAAAATACAAGAAATTATTTCAAAATTAGATTCAGAAACTTCTATCGCTGTTGGATTAGCTCAAAATATTATGCAAAATGAAACATTGAAGAATGATTTAATTTCCATCTCAGTGAATTTTTGTTTTATTGCACATACAATTACAAAATTAGAAACAAAAAATATATCCTTAAATGATAGTATGCAGATTGTCGAATCAGCGATTGAAAAATTAGAACTCGTAAGCGGACCAATAGGAGATGTTGTAAAAAAGAATATTTATGTTGTTACAGAAAAAAATTCAGGCAATATTGATTTGAATACAATCAATATATGTATGTGTATGAATAATGATTGCTGATTACTTTAAATTATCATTATATATATCACAGACATATGTGCCCATGTACATAACAATTTTAAGAAATCTCGTGAATAATAAGTACGAATGTATTCATATAAAATTAATATTTTTAAGCTTGTACATGATATTCCAAACGTATTTAACTTAGTACTGTATTAAATATTTTTATCTCTCATTTCGATCATGTGTTTGCATAATCACGTATTAATGTTAATTAATTGTACAAACCATTGTACTAGATACTAATTGTATTAATTTAGATATGGTAAAGAAAAAGAAAAATAAACATCAGATAGGTGATCCCACAGTGATTGATTTATACCTTCTATAATACTATATCTATGGATAAGTAATATTGTACTCATAAACATTATTACTTGTTTCACGGACTAAATCTAATACCCTTTGTAACACTTTCATTGATCTATTTTGCATAAAAATTAATTGAGATAGGTAAACTTTCAAATCAAATTTATTTATACATGATACAGATAAAATTTGATTAGTTGATTCTATTATATGCGTGACATACATTTAAAACATAAACTCAATAAATATTTTGAATCCTTGTGCAAAAATATTTATTATGCACTAAAAATGTGTATTTATTATGTAAGTTTTAGTTACTCCATTTTTACAAATATTCATCATGGTTTTGTATAATAATCATACTTACCCACCAGTAATTCTTTTTTTTTATTCATAACTAATTAAACGTTATATACAAACTATATGGGTTAATTTATAAAACTTGGCTTCGCTCTCAAACTTTTTGAATTTCAATTATTAGACTTTAACTTGTAAATATTTATTATTCGTACACACAGTCTGTTTATTGTACAAAATCCTAGTTAAAATTTAAAAAAAATGTTATTAATTTAATTTAACCTTTAATTTAAATTTCAGAATATTTTAAATATCTAACCAAACTATTGAATTCAGCTATTTAAAGAAGTAAAATTTAAAACTGCTAGAATGGTATATAATTTTATTTGGAGTTTTTATATGACGGCCGATTGTGTTAAATTTTTCATAGCTTATTTTATATATATATATTATTTGTTGTACATCAATTATATAGTTAATAAGTATAACCTTCTTATGGCTTATGTATTCTTATTATAATCGTAATATATAACGTAATGTACGTTAATCATATTATGTTATTAAATTGTTTAGGTTCTAAGTGCCTACGGCAAATCTTCTGAAAAATAAATTGAAAAATGTGTTCCTAATGCTTTAAATAGTTACATTTTGTAAAGTATCTGTTTGATTATTTTTGGTTAATAATTGTATTATTCATGAATTCAAAGATAATGTTGGATCAACAAGGCAATCTTCGTATAATTGTTAAGAAAATTAAACCATTACTTGGAATCGCAATTGAAGGTGGAATTAATACGAAACATCTTTTACCAAGAATAATAAATATACATGTAAGTAACTGGTTTAGAACTAAATTTCTGATTTTAATAAAAAAGAAACATTTATGATATAAATCAAATAAAAAATATATAGTCACTCAAAATAGGTACGTAAATACTACATAAATAACTTAAAACATATATTTTACTTTTGATATAATTTTAAAAGTATTACTAAAAATTAAATTAACAGTTATTATTTGGGTAAAACTAAATATTTCAATACATTTTTATGTAGGTACCTATATTTTATGATTCGTTTTTTATTAATTTAAATTGTTGATTCCTAAATTTATTATTTTCTGTAAAGTACCCAAAATAATTTTTTTTTAACACCCATTATTATTGGCTAAGAGTTTTTCAAATATGATTTATAAATGATTAGAGTTTAAATAAATTACATTTTAAAAGTACAGGAACTACATAGATAATATTTCTATAGATTTTTCGATCTAATAGCCTGTTAAGATCTAATAAACTGTTAAGACTATTATTTTTAACCAAATTTACAGTTACATTAGGAATACCTACATCGATAAAATAAACTAATTAATTTAGATCTAAATTTAAATATTTTGGCAATCGGATACTTTGCAACAGCTTGTAGTAATATATAATGTAAATATAACTTCGAAATGTTACTTTTATTAGTAATAATCCTATTTGTAAAATTAAAATAATTAATTATTGTCAACTTACTAATTCCATTAATAATCTCAGGTGCATAATTATACACATTTTATAATTATTCATTTTAAATACATAGGAAAATGGTGCTGCATATGAAGCTGGAGGTCTTGAAGTTGGACAGTTAATTTTAGAAGTAGATGGACAAAAAGTAGAAGGTATTTCGTACATGTACTTATACTATATATTATTATCAATAATGAATATATACATTATTTATACGTCATCCATTATGATCAGAATACACTAAAATATCGTTAATTTGTACTTTAACAAAATAAATATTTTTATAAACCATTAAGATAGTCTTTGTTTCAATTTTTCAGGAATGCCACATCAAGAAGTAGCTAGACTTATAGCAGAATCTTTTGCACAAACCGATAAATCAGAAATTGAGTTCCTAGTAGTGGAAGCGAAAAAATCAAATTTGGAACCAAAACCTACTGCGCTCATATTTTTGGAAAATTAACCGCTTGATTAAACAGTATTGTTTAATTGCTGTTTAACACTAAAGTTCGAAAATGTTGCAAACTAGTTGGAAATTACAAAACGTTTGTCTAAGTAAATTTATTTCTTTAAACATTTTTATTATACTATTACACGACTGACGTGTTATTATCAATTCGATTTCTAACATAATGTTTCGCATTTAAATATTTTCTTTCCTACATTTTCTTTAATCATTTATTTTTTATCAATCTCGTTATCAAAGTTTAATTTTATTTAATTATATTTTTGTTTTTGATAACTAATAAAATTAACTATTATTATGCTGTACAATAATACATAATATAACATATTATGCAGCACATATAACGTCATATGCCATAGGAACACATTTTTATAACAGTAATTATGATAATATATATACGTAAGCAGTACCTATATCTGATATAAATATATATACATGTTCCGAGTCAATGGCAATTGAACATTTTACAATAGTTCACTGTTTTAAATACTTAACTAATAATGTTTTAAACAGCTTAGCCTAACTGTATTCTATGCGAAAGTAGTATATACATATAAAGAGTAATAATTAATAACACATTCGATCTACATAAATAATGCTATTGCTCATGACTATAAATATACGATAAACTAAATACAGTGGTACAATTCAGAAATAAAATACATAAAAAACCATTAAATATAATGGAATAATTAGTCAACAGTGCGGCATTTTGGCAAGCAATTTTCCTTTGTGAATAAAAGCCGTCTAAATTACGAAATTTGTTCCAATTTTTTCATATTTTTTTTTTAATTTAACTATGTATTTAGATTCACTGTATTTATTGCGTAATATTTGCGTACGTATTATTTTTATTTTTAATACTTTGATTTTTTTCTCGATACATTTTAATATTAAATTAGAAAAAACATGATATGTTATAATAATTATCGATTATTTTTTTTCATGAATACCAGTCTTCTTTAATATATTATTTACCAATGTAATTTGCACGAAATTAAGTGTTTATTTCGTTGCATAAAAGAGAAAAATCTAATATATTGACATACATAACAATAGGCTTCGTCCATTAAAATAGATTTTAAAAAATGGATAAAAAGCTACTTAGATCATATAGTTATTTTTGTTGTATGCGTAAAATGTCAAATCATTTTAGAACTCAATTTAATATGTTACTTTAGTTATAACTATTGTTTTTATTTGTAAAAATTAATACATAATAAATTGTTGTTTGATGGAAATATTATATTTGAACATATATTTATATACACGTATGAATATATATATATATATATATATGCATGCAGAGTGTCTCACATGCTCCGATATTTTCAACTAATGGAGATTTTATGAAAACTACGGTACACTTTTTCCTTAAAAACTCAACGCATAGTGAGACAACCTGTATTAAATATATATTTTAATTTACGATGAAAAGTATTTCAGCCTGTATTTTGGTACGTTATAAGACACGCACTATTATTATGTTGCATGTTAACTTTGTAGTCGTAATAAATTTGTTATTAAAAATATTAAAGAAATTATTATTAATAAAATTAAAAAATTACTGAACATTTAGTACTTTATTAACAGTAGATTACTATGTGTTTGCATTTATGATGTTAAGGTGGTTACAGGGACAATGTGACTTATCTATGAGTGATCGGACGAGAAGGAAGATACGAATTTTGAATTAATGGTTGTACTTGTTGATAATACATAATATAGCTCATGAATAAATTAATTTAGATTTTCAACAATTTCTTTATAGGAATAAAGATTGAAATGCTGTGAGTTTAAGTGTAATTTAACAATGAAATTTTGAAAATACTTAAAAATTTAATTCACCTTCTACACGAATTAACATTTTCGAATTTTGATAGTACTCAGAATTTCATCAAAATTTCATAAATTTGAATTGCATGCTGTGGTGGCTAATATATATATGCACCAGTGCACGTGCACTACCTAACCAAACTATAGAAAAATTGAAAGTTAAAAATATTAATTCATAATAATAGCAAGTAGTAGTTTGAAGGTAATGTTTCAAAATTTAAGAAATGTTACAAGAAATTTCAAAATTAAAATACAAAAATATATTTGGATTGGGTTATTTTGTCGTTAAAAAGGCATCGTGAATATAATTTCTAGGTATAGACGCCGAGATGGTAGAAGCATTGATTAAATAATTAAATATACAATATATTTATGTATATTTAATTAAGGGTAGAAGGTAGTGCATATAATCGATGCGATACATACACACTGTGTATTACACAGGGGTACAATGTAAAAATTAAGACGTATCATAACCAATGTTAGAAAAGATAACCAATTATTTTATCTATATTAAAGATAAAGGTTATGACTGAAGGTTTATCTAAGATAATGATAAAAGATAAAATTTCAGTTATCTAGATGAAATAAAAAGATAAATATAATTATTTAAAATAACATTAAAAATGTAAGTCTTAGCTATTTTTTTTACTATCAATTTATGTCTTAATATTCGATAAAATATTTTTATTTTCTTGCAAGTGAATAGGTTAATCATTAACCTATTCACTTTACTATACCTCCTATAATGCTATATCTTCGGATAAGTGATAATGTACTCAAACATTATTACTTGTTACACGGACTAAACCTAATACTCTTTGTAATACTTTCATTAGATTAACCGTTAATTTAATAATATAATACGTCTAATTGTTACATATACTAGTTTTTCTTTCCTTCGGAATAATAATTTTAATGAAATAAATGAGAATAAGTCTAAAATCGTTTATATTTAAGTACTTATCATTATACATATATGGAAATAATTTACACATATCTGTATACGCGCCGGTCAAAAAAATCCTATCGTCTGGTTTTACGAATTTAATTTTCTGATTAATTTTAGTAGGTTTTCCAACTGTCGACTGATAAACATAGATTACTATCGATTATGAATAATGTTAATTTTAATTAAATTTTGCTATTATTACCCCGTCACAGTTCACATAATTTCAATTATTATTCTATGATCAAAACGATAATGATTATTACGATTATTTAATGGAGACAAGGAAGAGTAAATAAAATAATAAAATCATTTTTTAACGAAACCAAGGAATAAATTACAGTTAAAAAAAATAAACCACCCGTTTACTTAATTTAATATCTATTATTTATCGACAAAAAAAATCACAAAAAGAAAGCTAAGTATAAAATAAAATATTCTGGATTCATCTAGATAAAAGATAATTTTCACGTCATCTAGATAATCTTTTAGATAATTTTATTTAGATAGTCCCAACTCTAGTTAGAATACGCCAACTGTGTTATAATGGAATTTATATGCACAGTTGTTTTGTGCAAATAACCAATTAAAACTATACTAGCCGATTGTATTGAACGGCGTGCCGTCAAATACCGCGGCGTTGTCGTGCATGTACGTTTTAATTTAATTTTGATCTTATTTTTTACTTTTGATAGTCAGATTATCAAATAATTTACATTTTACGTCTATCAGTATCCAAACACTCAAAATATTGTTACAAAATATGTAACAAAGTAAAAGGTAAAATCGACAAAAAAATCCTTAGCATAATCTATACACACGTATAAATAAATTTTTTAAATGTGCACTACCTTATTATAAACTCACAAGCTGCCACTGATTGCATTTAATATATATCTACATTGTAGCCAAGTCTGGTATTTTTTAATTCATAACCTCACTACACTTCTACATTAAAGAGCAATACTCCTCTTTTATTTGTATTGTTTAACACTTGTCCAGTTTCTGAATGAGGCATAAACTAGACTTGGCCGCCATGTAGATGCCACTACGATTCGGTGTCTTTTTTGAGAAGAAATCAAAATCTTTTTCTTTTTTCTGAATTCTCTTCTCCCCATCACCCACGTAAGTCATAAATAAGTACATTCGATAGTGATGTTTTATGCCTCATTCAGAAACTGGCCAAGTGTTAAACAATACAAATAAAAGAGGAGTGTTGCAACAGTTAACAATTAATGTGAATCGTTAGTAACCATAAAATTCAAGATATAAATGTAATTGAAAAAGAAAACTAAACTTGCACTGGCATATTGCTTACCTCATAATATATATATATATATATATATATAGTATTCACTGGCTACATAACATAAATTTGTGAATACAATAAGTGTGTTATGTTGGGCCACTATTGTCAATAGATACATTTGTAAAGAATCTGTTAGAAGAAAAAAAAATACATAATAGATCTTATTAAGAAAATTATATAGTATACGTAAAGGTTTATATTTCTTACGGCACACGCATTACTACAAGTTACGAATGCCCATGCATATGTGTATGATTTTTGTCTGACCGTGACTAAGTAGAAACCGTACATAACTACGCGTTCTACACCTTTGATCACTACATTATGGAGTAGACGATCAGTATTAAAAAAAACTATGTATCTAATCACCCGATTATCATTGTTCATGGTTCACTTACTAATTGTTAATTCTATATTTATTCTGTACGAATAGAATAGAAATAGTATCATAGTTACCGTTTAAGATTACAGAAAAAGAGATACAGTCGAAAACCATTAAAGTGTCCATTGCTTACCAACTCGATGAGATATTTTTCAGGAAAACATGAGATTTAGGAATTTACTGGTTTTACTTTTCTACGGCTTTAGTATCAAGCCCCGTTTTGAAAAAAAATGTATACGGTTCAAATACTTAGTTTTTAAGCAGACGAATAAAATATATAATATTTAAAATTTAGTATTTATTTAATATTTATTTTTACTAATATTTTAGTTTAACAAAAAATCTTGAAAATTTAATAAAAAGAACCTTTTACAATTGTGTTAGATTTAAGAAAAAATAAAACATACATTTAAATTCATAATACATTTTGGCAAAATGATAAAATCCATGAAAATCATCATGCGGTGACTGGAAATGACACCTCTCGGCGAACTGCATGCATTCCTAGTGAACGTGGAATGGTATATTGTTCACAAATTTCAATTATTGATTGTTTTTCTTCTTCATTCATGTATTCGGTACGTATTAATTTTTTTATTTTATTTATTCGAATTATATTCAACATTATTACTATTCATTTTTAGCAATTCATAATCTTCTTCAATTTCATACATTATTTTATTTAATTTATATAATTTTATATTTTTATCTTCTTCAGATATATTAAGTAAAACTCGCATATTTAGGTACTTAAATAAAAATTGCATCTTTTGAAACTATCTATTTATTTTTTCGTTCAATTTGTTTTAAGTTATTTATTATTCAATTATTGAATAGAATTGACAAATAAATCCGGTTATTGTATTTAAACTATATTTTTTTTTATAAATTCAATCATAAAATGAAATTCTAATTCTCGAACGAAACAAAATTGAGTATTTAAAAACATTCTATATGATTCCGGCCAAAAAAATAATTTCTTTACCGTTTCATGCAAGGACACTGATTACAAAATTCATTGGACATTATTCAAAACGTTCACCAATATTCAGATCCAATTTCATTGTACCACTGGCTCAATTTTATAACAAGTATTTTACAAACTTAAGTACTATTGAAAAGGTCGAGCCGTTAAGCGAGGAAAGGGCCATCGAAGTGGGGTCATAGCTACTGTTTAATGTCATATTTGCTGTTGGTATTGATTTAATAGTCTTCAAAAGTCAATAATACGGTCAAGCATGTGACGGAAAAACAAATGAAAAACCAGAAAAAAAATCCAAAGAAAAATAATGTATGCGACAACTATAGCTGTTTTTAATTTTCTACAGAAAATTTAAAAAATTATATGAAAAAATTTACAATCGATGTTATTCATACATGAGGATTTAAGGCGTCAAAATATCATAATAGAACACTTACAAGAAAAATAATTAAGAAATAATCTAAAAAATGAAAAAATAATTAATAATTAATAAACTTAGTGAGGAATTAAGGTGTTTTAATATCCGTATTGACAATTTTAAGTGGGGTCAAATACAATTTAAAACCAAAATTTCCATGTATTCTTTTTGATTTCTCTCTCTCATTTTAATAACCACCGGGTAAAGTTGACGCCTCGTTGCTCGTCTCGTCGGTTTGGTTTTTGATGTATCTCAGTGCATCCGTGCAACACTGTTCCACTTCGTATGGCACCGTTTTCAGATCGTCGTAAAAATAATTTCTCATCCTCGTCGCACACGATGTACGAAAGTTTAGCTAATGTAAACATGTTACGGCTGCAAGGCGAAACGTTCAAATTCAACAGCACGTCTTATAATGATGGTTAACGGTCGAACTGACAGTTGCACTGTTGTTATAGTTCTCTATTATCTACCGGTAACTCATGACAATAGTAATGATAATAATTTTTTTCTAAACTACGTTTGGCTGGTACATTATTTTACTATTTTTAATATTCATATATGTTATCGATTAAAAATAAAAAATATTAATTTGAAAATTGACGAACGCGTGAGAAAATTTACAAGTTACGATAATCCCATCTCGGAGAAATTCAGCGGTACCCATCCCTACGTATTGCGGATGCAGTGTCTAATTAAGGTGGATGATCCCGTGGTGAACAGGGGTATACCGGTACTGGATGTACAAGTTATAGACATTTGGATTTTGTGTAAAATACTGTTATAACTCAATTTATTCGCCCTTTATTGCAATTATATTCAGATGTTATTATTTCTATAGAAATATCTTATGAAACAGACATCGGCGTCACTGGAGAAAGTTCTTACATATTTGGAAATATTTAATGGTAAACCAAACAAAAACAATTTGTCAAATTACACACAACAATATTTGTTTGAGATGATCAATATTTGTATATTGTCGTGCCTTAATTCATCATGAATAAACAATGATGATTGTAAATTTTTCATATAGTTTTTTAAATTTTTTAGCTGTCACATACATTCTTTTTCTTCGTTTTTTTTTTCTAGTTTTTCATTTGTTTTTCCGTCACATGCTTGACTTATAAGACTATTAAACCAGTACCAATAGCAAATATAATGACATTAAACAGTAGATTTGACCACACTTTGATGGTCCTTTCCTCGCTCAACGGCTCGACATTTCCAACAGTACCTACTAATGTTCGTAAAATATTTATTTATAATTGAGCCGGTGGATTAATGACATAGAATCTGAATACAGGTGAGCGTTTTCCATATAATTTAATGAATTTTGTAATCAGTGTCTTCACATGAAGCAGTACAGAGATTAATATTTTGGCCAGAATTATACAGAATGTTTTAAAATACTCACAAGATCGGTCTTGCAAGACTCTTGCTGCAAGACCTAGACCAAGATCAAGACCAAGACGGTACTGGTCTAGCAATACCAACACTAAGATTAGGTTTGCAAGAACAAGATCAAAATAAGACCATCACTGCAAAACTCTTGTAGTCTTGCAAATTTTTTTTTCCCCGTAAACACATTAGTTATCTAGATTTCACTAACTAATAATTTATAACGAAAATAATAAGAAACTATTTGTATTGTTATTAAATTTGATTAGTATTCGAGGAAATGACGAATTATTGAAAAAATGATTAGAAATAATTGTAATTAATACTACAAAATAACATAATATAGTTGTTTCATACTTAGCAATAATTGAAAAATTATATTTTTTTCCCAAAATCGATGAAAACGTCGAAAGTTGTCTTGCTCATAGAATAATTTATGACTTATGTCCATAATATATCTCTACTTTGAAACGAATATACGAATATAATTGCTGGAAGTCATTACGGACTACGGTAGATATCATTTTGATTGGAAGTACATTTTTATTTTCATTCGTAGCTTGTGTGATTTTTCCATACTAGACATTGTGTACTTAAACTAGTATCTTATACAGCATATAATTTCATTACTGTCGTAAAATTGTAGTCTATAATATTGATATTTATCATAAATTTAATAGGAACTTACAAAGTTAATTATGCTGGTAAATTGATTCATCAAATATAAATACAAGTAAAATAATATAAACATAATATTTTAAAATGTAAAGTCCTATAAGTAGTAGAGTACCTATAATAAAAATTAAATTGTTTGATTGTTTTATATTATTAATATACTATGGTATATTAATAATATATATTAGACTTAAGTTTTATCTTAGAAGTTATAGCAAAAAACCTACACATAAATATACACACCTATAACAGGTAGATATTTAGTTTTTTTTTTTTATATTTTGTGAAAATAGCAAGAGTCTTGCGCAAGACCAAGACCAAGACCAAGATTTTGAAAGTCTTGGTCTTGTTTTGATCATCACGTGATTGATAAGTACTGATTGATGAGTTAATATCCCGAAATTATTATCCCGGATTCTTTTTAGTAATTCTTTTTCTTTTCCCGTTAGCTCTATCAGTGAAATTGACCCAATTTTATCATAACTAAAATCCGATTTTTTCATGAAGTCATCAAAACTCTTAAATAAATCTTCTCCACGAGTCTTGCCTTCAAATGTCAATAATGCTAGTAACTCTTCTCTAAATACTTTATTTTTAATGTCAAAGAATCGCACAAAAATTGACATTTGTTCAGAATCAACTAAGTCAAAAGATTCATCAAACGCAACGCAATAGCACAATGAATCATATAAAAGTTCAAATAAGCCTTTTTTGATTTTGGCTGCCAAAATTTCTGTTTTACTTGTGTTACCTTGTCGGTAAAGGAATATCTTCAATAGAGGTAACAATTTTTTTATTTTCTTGAAAAAGTCCAGTGGCCACTTCCAACATACACTCTTTTACTATTTCGGAACAGGAAAACGCTTTTTGGTTTTTATTAAGAACCCAGGACACATGTAACGCAGCTTCAGTTGATTTATCTTGTTCATTCATACACCGTACAAGTGTATAAGGTATTTTAAAAAGAACAACAATATGTTTGCACTGGGTGCTTAAATACGTTACACGATTTTAATTCTGATTTTCACATTTTCTTATGGTGCTTTTACATTTTTAATTTCAATAGTAATGAAAACATTATTCAAATAAATGTATACAACATGTTGTTCACGTGCTTATACTCGTAGTTCTGTGAAAGTTGTTAGGTAGACCCATTAAAACAAGAAGACCTTCACGAAGGTTAATTCTTGTTATTACATTGCACATTGCTGTAATTACTCATTTATTACTCATCTGAATCGAGTGTTGTTTATCAATGGTAGAAAGGACGAATTTCAATGATTTTTACGTTTTGCTCTACACAATAAGCAACTATACAAGATTACTGTGGATCATTTACAATATTACTAAGAAAATACAACATTTTTTTCAATATTTTTGCACAAAATAATATGGTCAAATTTTATTATACCTAATTAAGTAAGCTACGATTTGTCTATTGTAGATAATTGAATGGACATGATTTTGTATTTTTAAATAGGTTGAATATACATATTTTAATACTTTTTTAATTCGATTGCATACAGTTTTTTTTTTTTTTTTACAAGCCAGTTGAACAAAAATTGTACATATTTGTTCTATACAGTTTTCTTCATTGATACAGTAATGTTATACGTATATCAACGTCATACTCGTACTTAAACATATGCATTTGAAAGAAAACTATCATGAGTCTTCGATAAATATTATGTTTTTAGTTTATAAAGAACAGCAAATTAGCAACACAACATTAAATTAGTTTAACTGGAAAAGGCAAAAAAAAAAAAAAAAAACGACTCATTAATAACTTAAAATAATAAAATTTAGAAAAATTAGTACCTATACGTATTTGCGATATATTACAAATAATTCTGGAAATTCTAGATGTTGGGTTTAAACATGTGATCCAGATAAATAGCAGATTTGTAATCGATACCCTTCGATACAACTCTGTATAAACCGACATATGCCTATTTAGTTAACTTGAATAATTCGCATGTCAATATTGTACGTTTTATTCTTATAAAATAATGACGGAGGAGTCACGTCTGACGTAGGGGTATGTATAAGTCGCGTATTTATCGAACATGTTACTTTCGTGTATCTAGTTTTTTTAATAATAAAATTATATAAAAATAGGTAATGTCATAGAACCAAGTTTTTTATGATGTTTTTTGTTCAAACTCTAAAATAAATTTAACCACTAAATAAATAAAAGAAACTCCATTTTAATAAAATAGCAATGAGTGAACGATTGAAGTGGATGGTCATTATAAACATAATTAAAGTATACTCTAATCATCGCGTTTAAGCATCAAAGTGTAATATATCGTAAAACCTTCACTTCAAGTGTTCTTATAAGTAATAAATATTCACCATGCGGATTGTACCGGAATTCAAATATAAATTAGATAAAAAGTTAGGTTATCGGTAGAATGAACTGGATGACTGATTATGAGGCAAAAGCTTCTGTAATATGGTGTATATATGTGTATATGGTGTTATGGTGCACCCGGAAAACGGTTTGATTCACGAGATGGCTTGTTTTATTTTTGAGCTGGATCATTTGAGGGTCATTCGATGTTGTAGACACTTTATTACTACTTTATTCTACACACCCGTATTATATTACTTTTTAGTATGACGGACACATAAATATATCATAACTCTTTCTCATAAGCGAAAAACGATCATCGTACGTCATTCTAGCACTTCACGTTCGAAATATATTTAGATTTCATTACGTACACCTAAAGTGTATACTATAAATAAATGAGGCATAATTAGAATATGTATAAATAATATGATTTTGTTTTTAAGTTTCAAGTGTCAAACACGTTTTTATTTTTATTTCATCAAAATGAATTCACATATAAAAATACGTCAGTGCAGAGCACACATAGTAGGGCATAGAAGTATAGTTTGTTTTAAAATAAATAAATAAAAATAAATGTTAGACACCCCCCCGATAAATCACCCAAAATACGCCACTTCATACATGTATGTTTGTACATTATACGTTCATGGTATTAATGCATTGCCAATGCAAACTGAAGTTTATTCTTTCTTATAAATGAAAAATAATCCTCTAAATAATATTTTATATTACCTCAAAATAAACTAGGGGTACTAATTTAGAACTTGTGGTTGCTAAGCACCCCCCTAGTACCCCTGTACGTGTGCCAATGGATAGTAGGTATACAAAATAAAATGATTAATTATAGTTTAGAACCTCTGCGAACTTGAGCATCGGAAAAACTGTTAATAAGATCGTTCATATCAAGGAGTTGTGTTGCTTTATACTCAGTGGAAAACAAAGCTAAATTGTTTGTTATGTCTTAAACCAATGTTGAACGGAGATCATTTTTCAATCTTTGTTGTACACTTATAGCTAGTGGCGTATTTACGGAGGGGTCTCGGGTCTCGACCTCCCTAGAAAAAAAAGGTTAGAGAGTCATAAATAACTTGCTACGTAGGTACCGAGAAAGAAAATATTAATTTATATTATGTGTTTTTATTGTTTTTAACTGTTGTATTACTTACAATTCGTATAAATATCTTGGGTTTAAATTTTGGTTATTTTTGTCGCGTCGTCGCCATCCGACGACGACGACGTAATATATATATGTTAGTGGCAATATGTATAATATTGGTATTTTATAAAATGTCTAGGAACTTTATATAACACCAAATACAAGCCGGCAATCTATAAAATTGTTTAAATTATCTAAGTATTATATGAAATGCCAAATAATGTATTAAATCCATGTTATCAGTAGGAAACGGATTTATATGTAAATGCATATTTTTATTAAAACGAGATATTTAAGATTCGATAAGAAATGTTTATGATTTAAATCATTCCTATTAAAATTATGATACTTTTATTTTACATATTTTTACATATTTTGGTATATTTACATATTTTTAAATATGTCACAAATTTTTAAATATTTTAAACATATTTTTATCATTTCATCATTCATACGTCTTCTTCGTACGAAAATACAAGAAATTATTTCAAAATTAGATCCAGAAACTTTTATCGCTATTGGAAAAGCTCAAAATATTATGCAAAATGAAACATTGAAAATTATTTAATTTTAATTAAAAATAATTTAATAAAATTATTAATAAAAAATATATCCCCAAATGATAGTATGCAAATTGTTAAATCAGCGATTAAAACTCGTAAGCGGACCAATAGATGTCGTAAAAAGAAAATTCATGCTATTACAGAAAAAAATTCCAGGCAATATTGATTTTAAAACAATCAATGACATAATGAATGGCAGACAACCTTTAAAAAATTTGGAATTATCGCCTTCTGATAGTATACACTTGAAATATGCTTTTAATACATCGGTTGATGTGAAACGATAATTTAGCCGTTTTAAAAATATTTTGATACCTAATAGGCAACATTTAGCATTTGATAATTTACAAGATATTGCAATAATTCAATGCAACAAATCTTTTTGATAATTTAATAATAATAATCACTTTTTTTTTAAATTTTTTTTTCCCCACATATTTGGATGTTTTTAGCACATATTTTATAAATTATACTCACATATATATGTACATATTTCTGTATTTTTATTACATATTAATCCGTTCCCTAGTTATCAGTATTAATATTTGACGATGTACCTTCACCTAATATAAATTCATTAGTAATCTGTAATATCGATAAGTTTAATGAAGTATAGTTTCAACTGCCGGATAGATAATGCGATAATTATTTCGTCACCATAGTGATTATTTTGAGTATTTTCACACTTCAGTCTTTTACAAAATGTTAGGGATAGGAATTCCAACTCATTCTGCTGAACTGAATCTTTCAACTCAATTCAGTGTAATGAGTTGAATCAAAGAGTCGACTCTCAACTCTTCAACTCTTTGTTTGAATAAGATTACCTCTACTCTAATCAGTGGCGGACGCAAGGAGGGGTTTTGAGGGTTCAAACCCTCCCCGAAATGAATGGATGATTAATTCCAAACGTAGTTATCCTACTTAATGTACCTTAAAAAATGAATTGTTCAAAATACGATTAAAATAATAATTAATTAATTAATTATTACGTAATAATTTGTAATTTTCCATACTTTCTAAAAGGTATTGGTACTTAAAACTCAAATTTTTGAAATTCCATGATGGCAATACTTCGTAAAAATAATGTGTGTTTGTAAGACGCTTATTATCAGTAAGTAAAAATAAGTAAATATACGTAATCGATATAATATTATTTACAATGGTACATTATGATTAACAGTTTCCCTAAATTTTGTGTTGTATGGTCATATGATAATAATCGACAATAGTCAATCTATAGTCAATAGTCAATTATTTCAAAATAACGGTAATCAGGTCCGTATTCAGAGGGGCACGGGTAGACACATGTTCGGGGGCGTCAAATCTCAGGGGCTGCAAAATATTTTAGCAAAATTAATTTTAAAAATGATGTAGGTACCTAATAAAAAAAAAAAAAAAAAAAAAAACAATAAATAAAAGAAAATAGTATGTTTTATTATGTTATAATTTGTTTAATTTGTTAATTAAAAAAAGTATTCAACGATTTTCATTTATAAGTTATATTTTAATAATAAAAAATCTCAATTGTGAACGAAATAATAAGTGATATATTATTATTATTTATTGGGGGGGGGCATAAATTATATGCCCGGGGGTGCCAAATTTTTTATTCTTATTTTTTTTAAAACCCCCCGAATTTTTTTTTCGCGTCCGCCTCTGACTCTAATCAACTCTTCAAGTCTCGACTCTTGATAAAGATCCTTTATCCCTTTTGATATTCTTACTAAAATCTGTAATGAACACATATTATATTATTTGTTTAAATATAATAAGAATAAATAATAATAATAATAAACAAGAGCCCTAGTCTGGAAATGTTCACATGGATCCCTTATTATAAATTTACGCGACTGTATTTGGGACATCAGACAATGAATGACAACAGAAACCTGTTATTTAACTAGTTGTAAACTCATAAAGGACTAATGACCTGTTGATGGTTATTTTAGTTTCCACAATACCCAGAGTTTTTGGTATTGGTGTTTGTACTGGAAAACCGAAAATGGAAGATAGGTACATAATATTATATAATTTCACACGAAAACTTCATGTATATAAAATCATACATTTATGTATATAGATTAGTGCACAGTAGTATCATCAATTTTAATTATTAATAATATTATTTGGGATCAATGATTTTGAATAGGAGTACACCGACCTTATTCTAGAAAATAATTTTATTCGCGTATATAAGTTATTTGTTTGACATTTTCTACTGTTGAAAGAATTCCTATACATTAAAATAATTTTATTATTAAAACAATGGTAAATTTTGGTCCAGTTTGCATTAGAATCTTTTTTTTTGTTTTTTTTAGTCAAAATTGAAACGAAACAACACTGTACGCCTAATCCAGGTGGGCCTGAGTACACAATTCGAGAGAGACCTAGTCGGCGTTTGCCGACTAGACGACCGGGGTAAATCCGCCACTGGTCGGAGGAGAATCGGCAAGAGAACCGGATCCGGTTCGGGCGAATAGTGTTCGCCGCCCGTTGCGACACCTTGTTATCATCCGATCTCCGTCGACTCACCGTTTTTGCGCGCCACCGTTGTCCTACTCCTGGTCAGGCGCTGGCCGATGCGAATCGTGCGGCTCGCACGGAACGGACGACTGCAGTGCCCTTGATCGGCCGGCGGCGACGGTACGCCGCGAACGCGGCAACGCGTACACCCGACGCGCCGCGCCGCGCATTCGTCGAACGGTGGCAATAATTATCATAACACACAACGTTATCGTCGAACGTTATTACAATAATAATTATCATAAGGCGAGAAGAAATTAATTTATTGTTGAACGGCAACGCGACCGGTGCGCGTGTGTGTGTGTGTGTGTGTGACGCTCGAGACGCGCTGCGAATCGGTCGACGTCCGTTGGTTGTTATTATTTCGTTTTTATTTCGTTTTTTCTGCGTCGTTGCCTCCACGAAAAGGGAACGTCGTCCCGGAGGCGATACGCGTACGCGGACGGTTTTCGTTTCCCCGATACCCGCCAACGATTTGGTCCGTCCCGTTTTTCTCCGTAACACGTATGATTCGCTGCTGTCGCCGGTCGCTCTGAACGCGTCATGTCTACGCAAGAAAAATTCACAGCCGCCATAAACGTGATCAGGAGTTTACCGAAAAACGGTGAGTTCTGCTCTGATTATAGTGATCACATCGACTCTCCTCTTGCATCCATGATATTTCCCGTTCGCTATGGACCGTTTTTTTTTTTTTTTTTATTCCTTTGCGGACAACGACCGCCAAACTGCCTTGTCCAGGATACCGGTGTTTGGCTTTGTCAGTGTTATAATCCTACACCGTTGCCCTGTCCCATTCCCACGTACTCAATATTTCATTGTATTTTTGTAGCTGGTCATTTTTAAAATGCAGTAGGTCCTTCGATTCCATTTAATGCTACTCGACGACAAAATCTTAGACAGAGATACCAGTACAAAGATTCAAGGACTGGTGCATCATCAAATTTATCAGTTCATTTTGATTATTTTACAATTACCTATTCGGTATCTACTCTACAAGTATTCCCAGGTCTTCAAAGAATCGTTTGTTTAAGAATTGTAAAGGATCAATTTTGAATTAATTGTATACAGAATGGTTCATTGAACTTCATGCTACAAGTAGTAAAATAATTATTACTATTAGCTAGTTTATTAATCAGGCAAGCCTCGTTGAAAATCATAACGTAACATGCCTTTTATTCAAATCAGTTTTAACTTCTTAATATATGCCATTTTTAACCTATCCGAATAGACTAGAAATAGAATAGGTAAAGTTGCAATTTGATGCTAAATATTTTCTATTCCTAAATAACTACGAATTTAAAACAATTTTCTTTAACTCAAAGTAGTATTTTTACCAAATATATTAATACCTCATTTATTACAGTTCAAAATATATAAGTAATTATATAAAAAATGTAATAAGGTGAGTTTAAAACATAACAGATTAATATTAGGTTCAGTACCTATAAGCTATTATTAAGTAAAATTATAGCATAAATTGTAAAAAATTCTTCTGATTATTACGCAAACCTCAAATTAGTCAACTTTACTTGTAAACTTCAAATCTTAAATCACTCAAATCAGAGTGAAAAATAAATTATTTATAAATCATCTCAATAAATTTTTAGTGTGTGAAAATAATTTTGTTGAGGTTTCACCATTAAAATTTTTCTTTGTTGAAATTTAATATAGATAAACATCTATTTTGTGTACTATGTGTATGTAAAAAAAATAATTGTTTTGGTTTATTGTTTTTTTTTTTTTGTTGTGATAAATCAATACCTAATAGTTAATATCAAGGTTAATACTATATATTTTATCTTCATACATTTAAAAAAATACTTATAAATATTTAATATAATTTGTATAAATAAATTATGTTGTTTTATTATCAGTATAATTACAATAAAATATTAAAACTGTTTAGCATAGTAAAATAAGAATGTTTTGACCATGAATTTCCAATTAATATAATTTTAAAGAATTATAGTTTGCTTCGCCATTCACAGACTTGTATCACTGAAAAGCTGATGTAAGTTAAGTACAAATTAATATTTTTTCTTATTCTTGCACTAGCATTTAAAATTTTTTGAATATTTAAGACAGCAGTTATTTAATTTAATAAATTTATAGATGTCATATCATAGGTAAACTAATTAGTAGGTATTGAGTCACTAATAATTAATAAATGTTAATCTTTTTTATGAATTACATAACAATATTTTACCTGATAAAAATAAACTACAATTGATATATCAAGATTAAATTGGAAATAATTTAATTGGTTAATTCATTGGTAACAATTTTTATTTAAAATTGTTCAATGCCAACAACTTTTCAATATTTTTTTATAATTTGGCTCTATTTCATAATCTCATAAATGTCATTTAAAAAAAAAAATATATATTTATTGATATTTATAATATTCTTTATAATATTTTTATTTGATTGTATGCATAATTTATTTTTTAAATTTTAAGGAAAATTTGTTTTTATATAAATTCAAAATTAGGATTATATAAGACTATTATTATGTTTTCATAAATTGATGTAATGATATATCAGCCTCAATTTTATATTTTATAACAATATTTCTCTGTGAAAAATACCTAAGTCTTGTATCTAGTGTACTTCCAAATTTCAAAAATATTATTAATAATAAATCTTATAATAATTTTAAAATGTATAGACCAATAGTAATACATTTTTATTTATTTGTTAATGTTAAAATTTTAATTATATTATAAGTTTATTAGTTTATGTAATTCTTATGATAAATTTTTTAAATATTTTGTGTTAAGATAAGTTTAGATACCTAAGTATAAAATTAAAACAAAATAAGAAATTATTATCAATAATTTTAACTATAAATTTTTCTACCTTTTAATATACATGTATTTTATTGAGTACAAAAGTTAATCAATTTATCTTGACTTTTGATCTTAAAAATGTCTTTACTCTTTATGGTTACTTATTTATTATTATTATTATTTTTTTTTTTTTTTTGCTATTTATGAGATGTTAAATTTAATAAGAAATTTAATTTAATTTATTTAAATTATTTTATATTTATTTATTTACTTATGATAAATCAATTTAACTATGTACTTACTGTTTTAGTATCCTTCTAAAATGTTCTTACTATAATAAAGATATTGATGTTGTCTAATTAAAATAATATATTGCATCAAAAATAATTGAATTTAGTCAGGTTAAAACATTAATATGTAACCATTTGTAAAATCTACTAGATATATACTGAAAATAATATCAACATTTATTTGGCACTACAAATTAGACTTAAAATAGTATTAGGCAATATTGCCATAGTATTACTCAGATTTTGCACCATTAACATATAACAGTATAAGTTAAACATTTTATTAAAATGTTGTCATCAAAATATAAATTAAATTTTTTTCTTGTTACTCAATATTTTATTATCAGCAATAAACAACAAATATTTTTAAAATTATTTCTATTAATATAAAAATATATTAATTAATATATTATTATATATATTAATATAGAATATTTCTATTAATATATTTAATAATTTAAATGAATTTGATTACACAAACAATATGTACGATAAATATAAAATTCAACCTTATTCATTAGTCTCAAATAATAAAATAAAACTTTGATGATATATCATCATAGTAATAAAGTCATCAAATGAAACCTCAACTAAAAAAACTAAAATAAACACTCAATTCCTATCTCAATATTTTGTGGATATTTTGAAAGTGTCATCAAATTACAAAAGCACTTCCTGATGTTACCCTTGAATTTTAAGAACTATATCGAAATAATTCTAATTCATATTAGAATTTCCAAGTCCTTTAATTATTGTTATACTTCCTTTTTTTTTTTATAAATATGGCCAATATTTACAAATATTATTTTGAAAATCTTTACCCAGCTCTAAGATTTTTTTTGTAAACACTAAATTTTATTAATTATTAATACAACTCTGTAAGATGATTATTAATTCATGTTATTAGGTTCATATCAGCCATCTAAAGAACTTCTGCTTAAGTTTTATGGATATTACAAACAAGCCACTGTTGGACCTAACAATCAACCCAAACCCAGTTTTTGGGATGTTGTTAATCGAGCAAAATGGCAAGCTTGGGATAGTTTGGGAAACATGTCAAAGGAAAAAGCGATGGAAGAATATGTTAATGAATTAAAAAAGGTAAATAAATTAGTGATTAAATATTGTTATTAATATGTGTGTATTATGTTCCAAATATATGTACAAAATAATAATTTCTATCCTTAACATAGATTATTACATTTATTTTGAAGTATATTTAAAAAAAAAAATTTAAATACTGAGTATTAAAATATGATAAAAATTATATGTTTAGAAATATTTTCACCGTATATTGTGTAACTTATCATGCAATTTTGAAATAATTTAAATTTAACATAATTAATTAGATGGCATCTTTAATGTAATACCAATTATCTTATAAAATTATTCAAATTTTAGTTAAATTAAAATTAACAAATATCTATATATTTTTTAAAATAATTAATTTTATCATATAAATAATCTATTATATTTTGCTTTATAATCATTATGTGTTTAAGCAGATATGATCAGTGTCATTTTAAATTAGCATTATAACAGCATATTTTCTTTAAATAAATTTGCCTCATGCTTTAAAATATAACTATATATTTTGAAAATTTTCAATTATTTTATTTTTGATATAAATAAATGTATAATACTATTACAACTTTTAGATTGTAGAAACCATGGCATATACAAATCCTGTGGCTGATTTTGTTTCCAGTTTAGATTCATTTTATGAATCAGTTTCTATTGATGATTTAAAAGTGGTAGTTGGTTCAATCGAGCATGGCAGCCTTCTGGGTATGTTGACTTATTCTTAGCTTTAATCATTGAATGTATGATACTGTAATAAAAAGTTAACCTAAATTAAATATTTTATTTGTAATAATATTTTATTTTGCAATTTCATATTGATGAACATTGTTATAACATTAAGACATCTATATATATCATCAATATAATTTGATAATACAATTTTGAAAATTCTTTAAAAAATTACAATTTTATTCCCTCGATAATAAGTGAACATTCTTTTATAGTAAATATTGAAATTAAACTTTGAATTTATTTTTGAGAAAGGGTTTACTGTATACTGTTAAAAAGGTTCTATTTTTAGTTTAAATATTCTAATAAGGTAACCTATTAAAACAGTTGTTCTTCTGATATAACACTGGTCTTTGATTGAAGTACAATTAAAACATATATTAATACTGATATTAGATATAACCTTATTTAGATACTTAATTAACTTTTAATTTATTTTACTAACCATAAAAATAATAGTTCAATATAATATCTTTTATAAGTTATAATTATTTTTACTGGTAGAAAATGGGAATTTTTGTAAATATTAATAATCAACCATATTTTATCAAAAAATATTAAAATATCAAGTTTTTATGCTGTATATTTATGTTTATGTTTACAGAAAGAGTCAATAATTCTAATATTAACTCTTTAAATGAAATTCAAAGTATCACAGACGCAGACATTGATGAAGAATGTTTTCATGATGTTATGGAAGTCAACAATTCGGTTAGCATTCACTAAATATACTTTTCATTTAAATGAGTCAATTTAAACTCAATTTTACTTATTCAATAAATTTAGCCCAAGTATAAATTATTCAATGGAATTATTTTACTTAGTGTCTAAACTTAAGGTTCTCAAAAAAGTTCAAGGTTTGTGAATTACATTATAATAATATTTCGTAGCCGCAATTAAATGAATAGTTAATTAGGTGTAAGTTTTTAGTCATATACGATTAAATTTTGAATAATAGTTTTTGTAGCTTATGTGTCATCTGAATCATCATTTTCTTTTAATAACTGTTAAATTTTCTGATTCTAAGTATTCTAATAAAACAGCTATTTTACTAATTTATTAAGTAATTTTAAGACATACTGCTCACATTCTCAAGCTTATAAATACTTAGAAAAACCCAAAATTTTCTATTATTATTATTGTATATTATGTTTGCTCTAAAAACTCTTATTTTATTATTATTTTTAATTTCAGTCAATTGGAGAGCAAAAAAAAATCAATGTGTATGAGGAAAACCAACACTCGATGTCTAATGAATACATTGAAAATTTAGTACCTGACAATCACATTCCAATATCTCAACAAAATGGAACTAATATGATTGAGTTACAAACAAACGAATGTTAGTTGATTTATGTAAATTAGCAATATATTGCTAATATAATAATTATTATATCTAGTTGATGTATGTTTTTATTTTTTTACAGTTTTAAATGAATTCCAATCACAAATAAGTAGTATAATAGCTACTATGAAATATGATTTAGATGTTGTAATAAATCGTGTTGCTCAAATAGAATATAAATTAAACGAGGTACTGTATTCTGTACAAATCAATACAACATTTTTTAATATTACATATTACATAAATATAAATATATAGAGGTATTTTTGGCTGCACAACATTAGTTGTTAAAATTGATTTTTTTAATTAATAAATACATTTAGTTTTATCATACATATTTACAAATTTACATACGAAATCATAATGTCATCTAATAACATTTTTAAAAATAGCATAAGTAATAATTTTGTAATAAACTATATTTTTTGTCATTTAATTTTATTTGTTTTAATTTTTTATTAATTTCTTATTTCTTAAAATAAAGGTTCTACTGAAAATAAATAACTTAACTATTTGTATGTTAAACATTAAATATTGAATAATAAATGAATGCTCATAAAAACTTTTCTATAAAAAAAAAATTATTGAAATAACTTGTATGAAACTATTTGTATTAAATATGTGTATAAATTATCTTTATTTTGATCCATTCAATGAGTAGATATTCATGATATTCAAATCATGAAGTTCACAAATAAACAGGATATTTTTTGATTTTCTTTATTATAAAAATCACATAGCACACTTAAAAAAAACTAGTACGTTTTTATTGTAATTTTTTATGCATTTGTCATAATGTATAATATATTATTATTTTTAACGTATTTAAAATATATTTCAGATTAAAGAAATAAATAAACAAAAACACCGTCATATGTCAAAAAGAAGTTTTTATCAAATGTTAATCCTAATGGGTTGGCCTATCATTGTTCAACTGATATTCTATTGGTTCCAAAAGCGTAAGATTCAAAAATCCTTAAAAGTATAAGCTTATGTGATATTTAAATTAAATGGTTAAATTATTTTATGTTCCATTTACTTCACCATGAAGTCCAATTTATGATAAAATCCTTTATTTTTTCTTAGAGTTAATAATTAAATGCTCTTACAGACTTTAGAGTTCAATATTTTCTTTAAAAATATCTATTTTTATGTAGATACAAATTTAAAAAAAGAATATTTTTATGCTTAATTATACATAAGTTTTCTTCTTATTTAGTTGTAAAAAAATTGTTTGATTTGTTGCTCTATTTTTGTAACTTAAAATTCAATTTTTATTTATAAAAACTGTTTCAATATATAAATTTATTTAATTACATTAGTCATTCTAATTTAGACGACCAATATGATCTTATTGACTCGGAGTTTGTAATTGCATAATGGTTAAATTTATATCACATCATATACAACCAGGATAATAAGGATAGATATTTTAGTTAATTAATAATAATTTTTGTCTTATATTTTTTGTTTAATTTTTATTTTTTTTAATTCTAATGCGTATGTGCTTAGAACAAAATGGACTGATTTTAACTCCAAAAATGTATTTCTTACAAGTGGCCAATTCAATGTAAGTTTTATTTAAAAAGAAAATAATTAACATTTTCTATTTTAAATATATTATAATAATACATATTATTTTGGTAATTAAATTAAATTAAAATTGTTCATAAAAAATAGTTTAATTATTTTCATACATAAAAAAGATTACAGTTTCTACATTTTTGAGTAACCACTAATATTTATGTGTGTGTACATCACATATTTTTGTTTGTAAATTAAATTTTATTATTTTTATTTATTTTATAGTTTTTTATGGTAGTGGTATACCTGTCAACAATACCATTAATTATCTGTAAAACCGAATTTATTCCCTATAAATTAAAATATTTGCGTAACCTTTCAAACCTGGATTTATATACTTTTTCAAATTTAAATGTGTTTTATAAATGATTTAAAAATTTCAAATTAATTACAATGGTGTACTGGTATTTATTTATTTGTCCTCGCATTTAATTTCTTATAAATCTTTTATTGATAAAATCGTTTTCATATTATTATTAATAATAAAAAAAATAATAATCGAAAAATGTATGAACTTTTACTTGAAAATTATTTTAACTTCAATTTTATAAATAAAAAAAAACGTTGATTTTACTTAAACTAATAATACAAACGTGTATTATATTTCATAGTCATATATTATTATAATTTGTACCTATTGGTTATTTAATAATTATTCAAATTCATAAATTATACCAAATTTCTCTAAAAAAAAAAATTCTCTTCTGGTGTTGATATTAATTATTTATTCAACAGTATTTCATTATATAAAACATCTATAATAATCACACTATAATTAATTTTTTGTATTAGTCTTAGGAAACAACTACTTCATTGTAACTTTAATTTTATAATAATAAAACAAATTGATATTATTTTCTTAATGTTTATTTTATACTTGTTATATCCCTCATAGTTATTGAAATTCAGGTCTGAAAGGTTTAAAAATGCAATGTTGTTGTATTGTAATAGAATTAAATATTTTATGTATTTTAAAATGTGACAATATTTAAGGTAGATTTGGTGTTATTTAGTAACAGATACTAATTTTATTATTTACTTTGATAATTATTATTATTATTATTATTATTATTGTTTTATTTCTGTTATATAATGAAAATTGTTGTTTGATTAAATTGTTATGGAGAAGGTAATATCACTGATTTGAAAACAGTTATAATCATTGGTTTTTATTCATATATATAATCAATGACAATATCTGTTTAACAATAAATATTTATTTTTAAATGATCATCTTATATTTTATTTGTTCTCATCAAATTATACCTGTAACAACTCTAGAGAAACATAAGTGATTTCACTTTTAACAGTTTTAATTTCTAGTTTGAAGGTTTTTATTTAAACATTTTGTTTTATTCTCAAATTATATTATAATATAATATTTTACAATGATCGACTCCTTTTTCAACTGAAATTATTGACTTAACCTTACACATTAAACAAAATAACCAATTAACATTCTAGTCTATTAATTGACATTGCTGTTAGTTTAAAATTGAACTGTATCAATTATTGTTATCAAATAATATTTTTATGCATTTAATTTATTTGTTTTATGAAGTATTACCTTTTTTTGTAAGACCGATGTGTTAAGTTGTTATTCGTTCATTTCTTATGTACTTAAAAAACTATTAATTTTCTTGTAAGCTATTTTTGTTGTAAGAATTAAAATTTTTTAAATATTTTATTTATTATTAAATTTCTTAAATATTTAGTTTTTATTGAGTATTAATATTGTTTTGAAAACATTATATGTATCAACATTTCAACAGTTATTATCGGTATAAACATGTTTTACTAACAATTTTCATAGGTTATACAGTATTTTTCTAAACATATAACTAGACTTTGAAATTGTTGCATTCCATGCAAATACAAATTAAAATCTAAAAATGTTTAGTGCAATGTGATTTTAATTTTGTTGATTTTCCTTATTTATTATACAATTTTAGATACATTTAACTATTATTAACATGATTTAATTATTTTTATTACATAAGAAATAAAGCAATGTTAGGATATTAAATATGTCAGAATAATATAATGATAATAAATAATGATTATTTTGGGCTTTGTCGAGTGTGATGGCAGTGGTAGAAATATTATTTAATAAAACTGTGCGAGTTGCACAGCTTGCTGTTCTCGAATATGTGATAATTCTTGTTTAAGAACTTAAAGAAATTATTTATCGTGTTATGCAATCATTTTTGAGGTAGGCACATAAATGTGTATTTAAAAAATAAAATGTAATTTACTTTTTTAAATGTTGATCATTTTATTTGTAGGCTCCTAGTAGATCAGACTAAAACTCTCAATTTAAGTATTAATATAAATTTTCTTTTTAAAATATGTTGTTGAAGAACTCACATTTGTAATACGATAGTTCGTTTAAAAAATACTTATAACATATTTTTTAATAGTTATTTTGATAAATAAAAATGTTACTATGGGTATTTTTACAGTCATAATGCAATTTTTAAGTCCAGTTTTGGATATTTTTTACTACAAAAATGCAATACATTTTATGACTTTTTAGTACAATAACTTTTGAATCTTTCTTCAAAGTGTTCTGTTAAAAATGTCTTAAATTGTTTTTTACTAGTTGATTATCTAATAACCACCACTAAATAGTATTATCAAACTAGATAAGTAACAATTTTAGTTAACTAAGTACGTTATGATAGAAATTGAGTACTTAGTTTAGTTTAATAATAGTCTTATAAAAAACACTTTTAAAAATGTATTAAATTACTGATTAAGCATTTAAATACGAATAGTTTTTCTATGATTTAACCTCACTTATACATGTGGTATCAAAAATGAATATGAAATTTTATTGGGGAAGTTATGTCTAACAATCTAAGTCCAATAATTTTCATATTTGATCATACTTGATAGTTATCAATACTATGGATTAAATTTATAATTTATATGCATCCAAAGACTAAATATTTTACATTTATTTAAGTAAAATCTAGAGAATACATTTCTTCTTATTTTTTTTTTTTTTTAAAGAACTTACATAAACACGTAATAATCCTTATCTTTGTTATATTTTTAAACTGTATAACGATGTTCAAATTTGTATAGGCATACTGTATTATACACTATAGTACTAGGCAGTATTCGTAATGACTATATCGCACATCCATATAAAAACAGTAACAACTCAAAAAGTTGGTTTTTTTAGTTAAATATTTATTCGATTCTACAAACGAAGTTACATAAATCAACAAAACAGGTTTATCTTTATCTATTAGGTTCTCCGTCAGATGGCAATGTAACTACATTTTATTGAATGAATGATATCAAAGTACCATCAACAAAACCGACATTCCTGAAAAAAGCGTTTTGTTTTGAGTTGTTACTGTTTTGATATAGATGTGCGATATTATCTTATATATTTTAATGTATTGTGAGACTTTAAACACTGTAATATGAGTACATAAGTAAAGTAAAGGTAAACAAAACTTAAAGACGTATTAATGTTATCATTTCGGTATCAAGTAAAAAAAAACATTTTATGACAAATCGTATGCACAGCCATGGATGATTGAACGTTTTGTGGAATATTACGCCGTCAATTTTTCTTTTAATTAGGAACACTAATTACACAAATTGAAATCGTGTTTCTCTCTCTAATATCTTTATTATAATAATTTCGTTGCACGTTTGTAATTCGAAAGTTTCTCTCGTTCCTTAAGGTTTAAGATGATAATTTTTTTGTTTTTGATCTTTTCGTGCGAAAAGAAACCAACTAGATACGATTAATTTAATAATAATATTATTAATTTACATGCGTAAGCACTATAAACGGTTCGAATTAAATACTCACAAGCGACCAAAAATATTATTTAAACTCTTATATGTAACTATACCGATGTTGGTCTTGCCGAAGATTATTTGTAAAAAAAAAAATCAGTACGTCGATACAGTATTATGTGCACACTTTGATTTCTTGAGTATTTTATCTTACTATCTTTTAACCCATCGGCTCTGAAATTCTTGTTTATTTTCAAATTGACTATTTTTGTGACCAGAAGATAATTCAGGCCTAGACTACGGTGGTCACTCGAACGTTTTTAATAACGCTCTTGCAAGCCGCATTTTAAATTTGATTTATTCACGTATTTCTACGTCGACACGATGAGTGTTAATCCATTTGGTTTACAATAAAATTATGTTAGTGAACAGTTCAGTACCGAGTGAATTATGTATGTCGCTATACGCCGGGTAGATAAGCGTTAACTGGACCAAACTTTTCACGGGGTCATACCTTTGATCCGTGAAGGTTTTATCGTCCGCCGCGAGGTTGTTGATGAGTGTGCAAGAAGCGAACATTTCTCAAGGTACCGACGAAAGGAAAAACAAATTACAATATTAAGAGTAGGTATCGACGACTACTTTTTTGTCGTAGAAACACAGTGCATGAATTATAATTTATTCGGAATATTACGACCGTGAACACTGTGTTGTACCGTCTTCGTCTCGTTCCATCGGTTGCTTTTGAAAACATAACTAACGATCTAAATAAATTATAAAAAAAAAAATTAAAATCACCTAAATGAATTTAAACAACGAAAACAAAATTTGGTTTAAAAATAATTTTGTGTTGCATACAACGTGTGTTTGCGTAAAGTACATTTTCAATGCTGAATAGAAATTCACACATTAATTATTAATAATACATTTCAATGCTGAAACGGAATTTAAACTATCTATGTATAACATGTCTCAAAATAAGCACACAACAACACACGTAAGGCAATAATATAAAATTATTATACGAATGGGTAACACGTTGCATTGACCGAAACGAAAGAACACATTAAAGGTCCGTTGAAATTAAAATTTTTTTAAACGTTTACGAGATCGTCATCATTTATAAATGAAAAAAAAAATTATAGTATAAATAATATGTTAAGAATTTCAGAAGAATTAAATCAACGATTCGCCCTATTTTATTTGGTATACTAGAAACACGGAGATTTCAGTTCGGTTGATTATGCGTTTACAGAGTTTGAAATACCTACACGTCACAACTGATTGTAAGGGTACATTCCGTCAAAATATTTACTGATGTACCAGGCATGGGTAACTGGTGGCTCGCTTACTTTTTTCGGGATCACGTAATCTATGCAAAAGTGACCGTGAAAAAAAAATATATATATATAGTATATTTTTGTAATCTACGCACAACCGATAACAAATTGTACCATGTCATTTGCCACAGAAAATGTATCAAAACTGGTACGTTATTTGTATTTTATTTTATATTCCGAAAAATGTGTTATAGTTTATAACATACCTAATTTAAGTTAAAATTGGTAAGCTTATGATAAAATAATAAAAATAATTGTAAATATTAGCTGAATAAAATAGTTTTTGTATCCATAAAAGTTAATATACATTATAAAATATGTTTTAACATACAAATCGACTTCTTATAATATAATTTGGTCGAGTGGACGTGATTAGAAATATGTGCATGTTGTGACCATTTACCACTAGTAGGTGCCGCGAATTACCATCGCCCTTTATTTCATCTGGCCCTACATTTTCAAAACATTATATTCTTATCTAGTATTGAACTAGGTACCGTTAAAATATTAAATATCTTAATACAATACTATACTTCCATAACAATATAGCTAACATATAGCTATAGGCAGTGGCGTATTTACGGGGGGGGGGGGGGGGGCCCAGAGATACTGGACCCCCCCCCAGAACTTCTCCAAAAAATAAAAAATAAATTAAAATTCTTACACATTTGCAGAATTGGTTATGTTAAACATTCACAGGGAAGTTGAAATTACTGTTGATGAAGTGATAGAGGAGTTGGCCAAAAAATCGAGACAACTAAAATTTATTTTATAACAACACCTACTCTATAATATATAATGCTAAATACAATATATAGGTACATATGTATAATATTACATAAGACTATACGATTATTACGTTATATATTTAGTTCAACTTCCTCCAAAAACTAACTATAAGGTCGTAACTATTACAATATAATATATAGATTATATTAATAAAATTAATTTATATTATTTATATTATAAACTGTGGACCCCCCCCCCCAGAAAAATATGAAAATACGCTACTGGCTATAGGTATAAAATACATATTTTATTGAATTGGTTCAGTCATAAAATTAAATTATAAAAAATAAATACTAACTGCCGATTTAATAATAATGAGCTTGGGTTTTTTTCGCTCTTTTTACTATGGCCCACCAAATTTTAAAGTTCTATTAAATGGCCTCCTTAAAATTACTTTGAGTAGTTCATCCCAACGATGTGCGATGAATCAAACCGTTCTGCTTACACCATCATATTATACGACGATGTTAAATTTATTAGATTATACAACGACGAGTGTATAATATAATATTGTATCCCGCTCGGACCACTCGACTGGCTCGCTTATAATCATAATTTATACTCGTACTGTCGCCACGACTCTTCGTGTTCTTCGAAATAATAACTTGATGTTCGGATCGATAACTATGCAGATCATCGGATGGTTCACGCGACGTCGGCCAATCGCGTCCACGATAATATAATCCTAGACTGCGCGAATTAAATTTTTTTAGCGGAAAAATTTGTGCATCTGTAATTATGGAGCGTTGGAAAATTATTTTTTTTTTTTTAATTTGTATAGATTTTTTTTTAAATGTATCACCTATGATAAATCGCGCGCTTAAAACATAAAACATTTTTTTTTTCGAATAATAAACCTTTATTTATTCTTAAGTCTCAACAATATTATGTTATAATAAGAATTATAAACTGAATACATTTAAAACTAAACATATTTATACAATACATTTTTACTTAATTAGGAATAAAAAAATTGTTTGTTATTTTGTATGTACACAAATTTTTAAAACAATTTCTGTTGACACCGCAACAAAAATATCACATTTAGTACAAGTGCATTGTGTTAGTTTTCCACATTTTTGATACTTGCACCATTGCCTTTTTTTCTTTATATATTCTGGCTAATGATGTAAATCATCTCTACTGATTTCTTCAGGCGTTATTAAATGAGTATGTTTTTCAGGATTTTTTATCTGTTTTTTTTTCTTCATTAGATAGTCTGCCTCTTTTTGGAGCAAGTACAGACGTTGTCAACGAAAATGTAAATTTGGCCGAAAATCAAATAAACTTAATTTAGGTATTTACTTTAAATTTTCATTTTCCACTCGTCTATAGAGTAACCATGCATTAACGATTGATATATCAATGATGTGGTACCAAACCCTCATGCACTATTTTTTTGTTCGTATTTTAATTTTATAACGTCTAATTAAAGAATCAAGGAGATCAGCACCTCCCATATGGCGGTTGTATTCTTTAAATATAAAAGGGAACTTTATTTCCATATTTCTTTTTGATTTTTTTATCAAATCGATTGATAGACATTTCAGGTAATATTCCACAATAAGATGAAAGAAGTGTCACCAATTTATTACCTTTCCATATGACTGAAGTTATTGGAACACTGTTAAATACAGTTAAATATTCATATGAAATTCCCCTGGGTTTTTTAAGCATTATTTTTTCAGATGAAAACTAACAATTAGGAATTCGATTTTTACGAATAGTTCTGAGTATTAAAATATCTCTTTTAATTCAATAAATAATTTTTTTTTTATTAAATTATAATTTTAAATGTTAATTTTTTATTAAGAATAAGAAAAGTATAGTCTCAGTGGACATTTAAAGCTCGTCCAGCAACTGAACTAAAAAGTAAACCATTTGTATTTAAACTTAAAAAAAAAGTGAGTCAAAAAATAAATGTTTAAACACTGAAAGGCGTGCTCAAGAATGGTTGATTTTTGAACAAGAAATGAAAGAAAAATATTCTCATTACGAAAAAATGTCGAAAGAGGTATGAATTATAAATTATGTACTTAATTATCGATTTTATTAAGCTTTTAATGCTTATTATTGATTTAGAAAGAAGAAGAAAGTAAAATAAAAGAAATTAATATAATAAAAAGTACGTGGCAACGAACTATTTAAAACAAGCTATTAAAAAATATAAACCAATATTGATTAAGAAGTCAGAAGTCCGAGGGATGGAGAATAAGGAAAAACAAAGAACTGGAGGATCTTTTTCAGTAGCCAAACATATTGGATATAATCCGGAGTAGGAGACTTAAGATTAGGTCACGCGTGGCGTATTCAGTACGGACTGCTGCACATGGTATTGATAGAGAACCCAGTAGGAAAAAGACCTCTTGGACGCCCCCGTTTAAGATGGAAAGATATAGTAAAAAGAGACGTGGTATCGTTGAATGGTGGCCCATATTGAAAAACAAAAGCAGCGGATCGAGACACCTGGAGGACTGGATGTTTGACGGATTGGTCCTAGTGGCCGGTAATACCCAAGAAGAAGAAGAAGAATAGATTTACATTTTTTCTAATATAAAGATTTCAATATCCTATTATAAATCTATATTATTCATTACATCATCTAAAAACAATTATTCATAAATTAAAGGTTAAAAAAAAAATCATAGGCACAGCAAAATAAAATACATACTTACTCAAGTTAAATTCCACATCTGAAAAATCCAAGTCATCACAAATATCAAAATTCATCAAATAAATTTTTTGAGAGTCACTCAAAATATGTTTCGCTATCTTAAACCTTCAAAAATAATACATCATTTAGACTATAAAGTAAAATTTACAACATTTTAAATAAAAGTTATCTAATTTTCAATAAAAAAGTAATAAAATATTATTAGAAACCTCTTAATGCACGAATTTCTACTATCAATACTATTAATATGGTTTTATAATAATGTAATAACTATTAATTGTTTATTATTTATGTGGTATAAACATACTAATAAATATTACAATACGGTTTTATCAAAACAAAGTATAAAAAAACAATTTATTATAAATATTTGTGTATCATCCATGATACATTTGCTCATTAACGGTTTTCATTTGTATTATGATATAAAAGTCATTCACGCTTTATGTATCGTGGGTGATACACTTAAAAATATGTATAAATAAGGATACTTAGTTTTACATAACGTATGTTCGATGCATAAAAATAAATTGTATAACATATTTAATGAAATAACATTTTTAAAAGATACAATAATCCACAATGTCAATTGGTGGTGGGTCGTTACCGGTGTATTCAGTACAATGCAACGATTACATAGATGAAACGAGTAGGAACGAGTACATTAATCGCTCCATGATCATTCCATCGGTGGAGGATTTAATTACGCTACATTAACTTGTAATACAAATACGGATTTTGTCGTTTGAAACGGTGTTGAAACGAATACATCTCGCCTTACTATCCTAGCATTTTAGTATTAGCTGTACAGTGTCTTTTACACTGTATACGGAATCAATCAGTCTATTTGCTCAAGCCTAAAATAATTAAAGGGATAAAAATAAAATAATAGTATTTAATTAATTTATTTATTCGTATGGAAATAATTTTTATTTGAAAATATTAACATTTCCGTGTTTTTTTGTTGATAATCTATTATATCTTTCGGAAATGATGTAGCTTTTGAGATCCTTTCCGGAAAACATTTGTATACTTGATCGTTCCGAATAGAATTGTAACTAATAAAAATTGTACCGATTGTACCGAAATAACGAGCATTTTGGAATCGATACTTTATTGTAAATGTACCGATTGGAACGATTCCACAAAAGGAACGATAATTCTCACCACTAATATCAATGTTAAATGTGACCAAGAAATATACGTTTTTGATACTTTTTTTTATCAAATTAAATCACATTATTTTCACTATCATCCATCCAAGGCCATTGTAAAAACACTGTTGGAACTCATTAAAAACTTGTTTTATCGATGATCAATATGAAATTGCAAATTTATTTACAATATAAAAGCTTCTACATAAACATGTACTGAATGTATCATCAGTAATACATCACGCAGTATAGTGATAATTAGGGCTAGGGACTTCATTCCCTAAAAAACCTTAAAATATGTATGCATTTATGCCTTTAAAAATTACCAAATATGCTATTAAAATATGCACTAAAAAAAATAAATAACAGTATTTAATAAAAACCTTTTTATTTTAATATGAATACATAATTAATAAAATTTTAATTTATAGTAAAAAAACTTGTCATAATAAATAATTGATTTTCTTCTAACACCCGAGTTCTAGTCTAAAATAAAAAAAAATACTTTTTAAATTGAATATGTTTGTAAATTGTTTTAATTAATATTGTATTTATTACCTTGAGCATTACATTAAACTATGAGATATTTTTTCAAGTTGGAAAATTCGAATGACCTCCTGTTATCAGCCAAAATATTTTTATACTTTGAAAAGGAACGTTCCACGTCAACAGAACTGATTGATGCAAACTTAAAAAACGGAATATCACCACTACTAATATCTGTTGGCAATCCGTCCATAGATTCATTTTGTCCACTTATAATGTCTGATATTTTTTGTAGTTGCACAAATCCAACATTTTTTTCCATATCTTTTTGGAATTTTTCATAAATTGCCTTAGCTTGAGCGCATCCACCAACTTTTGCTGAATGTATAGATTCTTTTGTAGTTTTAATTATTTTAATGGATTTAGTAAGTGACATGCCTTTGGTTTCAAGTCGAGTGATAGATGTAGAAATAAATCCATAATTTGACATGATAAAAGCTAAATTTGCTTCCAAATTATTTGATTTTAAAATTTGCTTACATTTTTTTATGGATTCTGGATCGTTTTCATCAAGCATATCAATAACTTGTTTAATAATTTCAAAATATTTACAATAATATAAAGCAGCATCAATCCAAGTACCCCACCTGATTAAAATTTGTTGCGGAGGTAATGGAATATCAGATGCAACAGATTTTAATGTTTGAATACGTGACGGTGCCTTAAGAAAAGTTTTTTTCACATTAGATACGAGTTGATCGACGTTTTTATACTGGTTTCTTATTTCTTCAGCAACATGATGAAGCCCGTGTGCCAAGCAGGTTACATGAATTATTTTAGTGTACAAATTTTGAATCGCTTTGTCGGCCTTAATCATGTAAGGCGCGGCATCGGTTACAAATAAAAGCACTTCATTGTATTTCACACCTTGTGGCCAGAGCAAGTTCATTGATTGGTCAAAAAGCTTAAAAATGGTCGAATGGTTTGATTTTTCTAACTTTTCCGAATTCAACAAAAAAATACTACCCGGATCGTCTACTGTAAGAGTTCCAATTATAACGTTGGCAATAAAGCGTCCTTCTGCGTCAGTGGTTTCGTCTATCGAGACCCAAATTTTTTTTCCATCAACACAATTTTTAATTTTTTCAATTGTTTCTAAAAATAAATCGTCGACATAACCTTTACGGAGAGTGGCTTCTTTCGGTATTTCTTTTTTAGTGTATAGCTCCAAAAATTCTCGAAAATGTTTATTTTCCAGTTTATACAATGGTATATTGGCTGATAACATCGCTTTACATAAGTCTCTATTAAAATCGTTTTTCTTGGAGAAAGACGTGGATACAAGTTGCTGAGTTTTAGTTGGTTTCAATTGTAGTCGATTTAAACCCTGGATGTGTTTTGCTGTTTTAATATGTTGAATAACAGTAAATTTTTTCTCAGCACTAACTTTTATGTCACATATTTTACAAAATAAAACAGAGTTATCTGCCAAAAATATTATTTCACCGAATTCTTTAATAAAATTGTTTAGCCGATCATAAGTTTTAGGCTTTGGTCTAGGCATTTTAATTATTTTATTAAGAATTCACGCAATAGTACGATACTTCTTAAAAAGAAAATATCACGGCACGAAAACACGATACGAAGAACGCACAACAACAACTGTCAACTAATCAAAAATAAAAATATCACAGAACGTCCTATCTACGGGATTATAAATATATGTCATAATTTCATAGAATGTTATTTTGGTAATATTATCGGCTATCGTCTATCGGAATCACTTGTGAAGTATACCATTATGGCCATAGTCCATAAATAACAATGGGAGCGTTCGGCGAGAAAAACAACAATACTAATTATATATATATATAAAACCATAAAATTAATATTTCAAATTGTTTGTATAAAATATTTATTTAATTATAAAACTATCATTTTCATATTAAAAATGCTCAAATATGCACTTATAATTAAAAAATGGTCAAATATGCAAAATATGCAACTATAAATTTTAAATATGAACTCGTATTACCATGAAATAAATTTCTATGTTACTTAGCTATGTTTTTAATGATTATTTAAAAACATGCAAACTCCCTAGCCCTAGTGATAATGTAAGAATATCATACCATATTTTCGACCACGACACGGATATTTTTTTAATATTGTCTCTACACATACTGAACCAAAAAACTAGGTAAAATCAATAAAACTATGAGTTGATTTAATAATAAAATTATTAAAATACGGTCAATTAGCACAATTATTAATAATACAAATTTTATTTTAATAAACTCACAGTCAATAAATAAAATTATTGAATTAAAAAAAATATTATAAGTTTATCAATTGTATTTTATACATCTGGAAAGAATCTTCTACATAAGTCATTAAATTTACCATATATTTATTGATTCCATAGTTATATTTATTAAATTAACCAAATCAATTTTAAAAATAAAAATTTATTTATTAAATTAATACATTTAATTTAATTTAATTATGACTTTTATTTACTGAAATAAAAGTAAATTTTTAATATTATAAATGCCAATAAATAAAATCAATAATGTATTCTATGTTTTAAAATCATTATACTTATACATTAGTGCATTATCATATGGAGTTTCTGAGGAGTAAATTATTAAAACAATATACATTTTTACAAATCTTTATTACTTGCATTCAACAACTTAATATTTTTTATTTTTTTCAATCGCCTTGAGTTGTGAAATTGTTTGATTCACTTATATACATGGTTTATCATATGAAGTTTTAAATTTAAAATAATATTGTTGGATAAATAACCAAAAGTTTCCACATTCTATTGGATACTCAATGTTAAATACATAAAAAATTGAAAAAACAGATTTTAATTGCTTTTATTATAGTACTAATTACATACTTAATGCTATCAAAATAAACCATGATTTGTTTAGGATTATTAATTTCTCCAACTACTAATAGACATGGTTGAATTTGTGTGATGTTCTTTGACAAAATTTCCTCCAATTCTGCACTTGTTTTTCCAGTTATGACAAAATTGTTTTGAGATTCTCGAATAGAAAATTTTTTTAAACTAATTTTGCCATTTTCATCTCTGGTTGTTTTTTTAGCAGTTGGAACAAACACGGAATGAAGAAGGAAATAAATAACAGCATTTTTACCATCTAAAATCAAACAAAAATTGTAATTAAAATATATTAATAAAAATAAAGAATACATAAATATTATTCAATTTAAATAAAAAACACTCTAATTATAACATAATATTAAAAAATAGTTTGAAATATATTTAATGTGTTTTAATGACCCGTTCGATTTTGAAAATCATCATTGAGTAAGTAGTAATTTACTAGTATTAAAGTAAAATATAATCTTGAAGTGCTGATGTATTATATCTAATTAGTATATTTATAATTTACTATGTAAATACCGGATGATAATTTTTAAAATATAAATTGGTCGTTTTTACAAATCAATAGTAGGCTTAGCCTTTATTTTTATTGAAATATTTCACTTGCTAATTTTAAAATTAATAAATAAAAATATATATAAATCTAATTAATTTGTGAGTATCAACAATTATGTTTTATTTATTAAATAATACAATGTTATAGGTAAATATTTCAACATTGCATTATTTACTTTCAGTTAGATGTGGAGTTTTCAACATTTCTTCTAATTGATTTTTTAAACCAAGATCTTTTATTTTTTCTTTCATAATAGTCACCAAGATTGACTGTGACTTTTCAAAGTTTTCAATAAAATTGCATAAAGGATACATTTTTTTAAAATCAATACCATCCTGTGAAAAATATTTTAATATTTACAAAATTAATGAAATAATGAAATATAATAAAAAGCAATGATCATTTTCGTAGGTAATATAATTGACTTACAAGTCTATATCCCATAGGTTCTTTAAAGTGCTTCCAATTAAAAAAAAAACATTGCTTTCCTCTTTAATATTTTTCAATCTATAATTTGTAGTTTTTAACCATATATTCTCTATATCAGGCCATGTAAGAACTTCATGATGCAGTTGTGAAATCAATGAACTGACATCTTCAATTTCTGAAAATGAATAGTTTACATTGTAAAAAATTTTAAATACATTTAATTTGCAATCTACATACCTGTTATGCCATCAAATGACGATGATGATCGGCTCGTAGGTAAATTGATTTCTTTAGAGTATTTTGTTTTTTTAAGTAGTCCATGGTTTTTTAGCTGTTTGATGGTATTAAAATATTTTGAATATATTTTTCCTTTAGGTGTTCTATTAATTGAGTCCTTAATGAAGTATATATCCTGAAATTAAATTAATTAAAAATGTATACAAATCTAATATTGATTCTAGATTCATAGTTAATTTAAACTATTAAATAGGTATACTTACTTTTATTTCAGTAGGGAACTTAGCAACAATGATTTCTCCTATACAATTTTCCAAAGTTATAGACATGGATGTTTTTTCTTTTATTATATGATTAATAATGGCATTTACGATTAATGATCTACATGAATCATTCAAACAATTATTTTGATCATAATAATCAATTTCATAATCACATTGACTATTTTTTTCAAGTACTGTTTCAAGACAAAATGATGTACTAAACTGAGGAATAGATATTGTTGATGTATCACATGAGTGGCTTTTGGTAAAACTATTAGAGTTTTGACGAAGTGTTTTTTGCCATAACTTAAGACTTGTCTCAAATTTAATTAATATACCAAGTGGATAAGATGATAAAAGCTTCTCTATGTGATGAACTTACATATTTTCTAGAGATTTTATGTCAATGTAATTATCTAAACAAATTATTAAATCAAGATTAAAATACATTATAAATGGCTACCCATATCAGCAGTGTACCTATGCAAGTTTGCTGCAAAAACACTAGATCCCATGACTCTAACAGAGCTTTAATTTCATTAACATTTTCCAATGGTGGAAATAATAGCATATTCATTAACGGTTGGTTATGATATACACCACTGTAATCCATTGAATAGTCTTGAAACTGGTATGTATCGCTCATTGTGTATTTTTGTCTATATCTGTATCTTTAATTTTTACAAATTTATAGATAGTTTGTGTAATGCGTTCAATTTTTAATAATAGTACAGTAAAAAATAAATTAAGAATAGGCATATTAATATGAAAAAAATGTAATTTTAAACAATAACAATTAGTAATTAAAGATAAAAGTGAAATATTTTATTTAAGATATAGTAATATCAAATACCTATTTATACATTTGCATTAAAAATATTCTTTTAATCTTATCATTAAAGATCCATCTATAACTGTATTAATGTTTATAGGTAGACCATTAAAATCCTCTATAGGCATAGCTGTAGTGAGAATTTCAGATTTGTTTTTATCAACCATATATGATTTCAAATGCTCAACATAGCAATCAACTTTAATTTGCTTGAGAATTAATATAATTTTATTTGTTCTATGTAGTAGAATAATTTCAACAATTTCATAAAAATTAAGTTCAAATATAAATTTTGTTAAATAATAACCAATTTTATATACCGTGCCTTTAAATTTCAACTGTTTATAGCACTCATACATTTTTAATATGTCTCCTAAATGATCAGCTATTATTTCATGGTTACTACAATTAATTTTATGTTTATCAGCTATAATAACATCATCGTTTTTTGTACCATTTAATAAAAAATCAGCAAACTTTAATTGACATTTTTTTGCTAATGATAAGGTTATATTTTTTCTGGATGTGATTGCACGGGCATACATCTTTAATTCTCTGTGTTTGGATTCATATTTAAAACATCGAAAATGTCTAGGTGGACCAGATTTTTGAACTACGAGTATTAAAGGATAGTGAATTAAGAAGTGGTGTTTCGATTTCAATGTATCATTAAATAATGTAACATAGTCTAAATTATGTTTTTTTATGAATCGTTTAAGGTAAGAAATTAAATCTTGTAAAAGCTTATGTGACATCAATATGTCAACTATCTCAAGAAAATTTAAAAAAAAATAGCCAAATATCATCAATATTATTAGGTATTAAATCACCTATCATCAAGGGTTAAAAATGAATAAAACACATAATTTCTCTTGCTGACATTTTCAAATTAAATTTTAATAAATTATGTTTTTCAATAATATGAGAGTTGTTACCTATTTCTATGGTACCATAGTTAAAATATTGTTTTCTATTATTTAGAGTTTCTAAGGAAATAATTTTAACTTCTGAAATATAATATAGAAGAATGTGACATAAATTGTAGAGACAAATGCCTTCGAAAAGATCATGCATTACATCAATACAGTAGTTTGTTGTAACATGGAAAGAACCAATTTGGTTCAAAATACATTCATTGTATACACCTGTTAATTTAAAGTCATTTATTTTAACATCTATGCAATAATTATGAACATTTCTAAGCATTGATTCATTTTCTTCAGCCAAATATTTAGTCAATGATTTATTTACTTTGCAAAATCGACAATAAAAATTAACAGAAAATGACTTACTAAAATCGCATATACAATTTAATTCCAAGTTATCCCCAATAACTAAACCTAAAATAAAATGCACATTTTTTATACCACATGGTGTATTTATAGAAATGCCATCTCTTTCTAGGCTATTTAATTCATTAACTAAATTCTTAAAACATAAATCATTCTCAAAAATTTTTAGATTTTTTGATTTAATTAAAGCTGCTAAATATATTTCTGAAATTTTAGAATTATTTTTACTTAGAGGAAAACTATAATATAGAGCATATATAGATTAGAAATTTGCATTTGAACCTAAGGGATCATTGATTTCAAAATCATCAATATATACATGTTGTGCATTATATGAATATTGTATGGTTTTGTTTCGTTAGCTGCGAGTAGGAGCACTTTTCCGAAAGGTCCACACCGGTGGCGGTGCTTAAGCTGCTGGCCAATGTGTGCAGTATGACCCACAGTTTGAATAAAATCCCTGTTAACGCGCGCCCTTAAAATGCTATCGCTGCGCACTGCTGTTGGCCTGGGCATTCGCGACGGCCTACAGGCTCTGAATGGATTAGGAAATGTTGAACGTGGCCTTACGCAGTAGTTTGTATTTCCACTTACATATTGTGCTCGGCGAAATGATATTTCCACAACAATGAAATTCCGAACCGGATTCGTGATCAAACTTGGTTTTCCGTCGCAACTTTATTGGACTTTTGAAAATTCCGTTCTTTCGAGTATTTCTTCTCACCCGCGACTTTCTACGAGGACCTGTACGCATAACTGTATAACCCTTTACACAGTTCAATCAGGATTGAACTTCGCTCCGTTCAACCCATGTCTCAGGGGTGGTTCCAGAGCCTTGGTTAGGGGGGGGGGCATGTTATAATCTTACAAAATCTTATAACAAAAAGAAAACAACAATTTTACAACACAAATTCAAGTCGTCTATTTTTAAAATTGGCAAAATATCAATAACATGATCTATTTGATCTAGAATGTTTGCTTTATGATCATAGGCGGACATTTGGTTGAATTTTTGGGGGGCTATAATAATTCAATTTAAAATAATCCGCAGGGCTTCGCCCTCACACCCCCTTCTCATGCACAAGTAAAACTTATTACTATTAAAAATATAGATATGTTTAAATTGTATTAAAAAAAAAAAAAAAAAAACACTAAATAACGTATATTTAAAAATAATTAATATTTTATTTTAATGAAAAATATCTATTTGTATCATCAAAGATATTCAAAATATTATCGCTTTATATATTTTTCGATATATATTTTTCAATATATAGTATTGAAAGAACGCTAAACCTTAGCGATTTCAAAAAACGAAGTACGACAGTAGGTATGTTGTTCCATCGTTTCATGCTATGGAAAATTGACACCTTGTACCCGCGACTGTTATCGTTGTGTACCTGTATATTTTAGGATAGTGTAGAATGCACTTTGTCGTCAGGACGCGTGTGGGCGTACATGGGGACTAAACGGAATAATAATATCCTTTGTACATAAATCCGCGTAGATCAGTGATTTTCAACATTTCTAAAACTGCATCGAAAAGCAAAAGGTTTCTCATTATCTTCTGCCTCCGCCCCCCACGAGAGAAAAATAAAAATATGACACTGTACTTGAAAAGTTGAAAGTTTACGTAATGGAATAATAATTATAATGTAGTTGAGACAACCGTGATGATCAACGAGTCAGTTAATTTTAAGGATTTAATTAGATTTAATATTAGATAAGTTTTAACGTAAATATATACTCGTATATATGTAAAAACCACAACCTTACCCAGGGGCGGAACTAGGGGATGAAAGAGGGGAATTCATCCCCGGGCGTAACATTTTAGAGGGTGTAATTTTTATAATTATTAACAACTAATTTGATATTTTTAACTTTGTTAAATAGTGATGTTAGGTTAAAACTATGATTGTATATTAATTGTTAGAAAAAAATTATCGAGAAGAGTATTTGATTATTGGTCTATGATAGGGCATAATTTTATCATTTTCCCCGGGCGTAAAAATTCTTAGTTCCACCTCTGAGCCATAGGTAGGGCCTACCGTCCTACAGGTTCATAGCCCTCCACCACGACATCGGTACAGCACCTCTTCATCCCTTCAGTCGTATCGCGTCCGTTGAGAACCACTGCACACACAGTGCTCGTTTGCGCGTACGTGCGTACGTGTTCACACGTACACACACATACACACGTACACACATACACTTTCATAGGAAAGGACTTTGACTTTCTCGCACGAGCAGTAGTGTACAAAAGCAGTCTGCGAGAGATGAAAAAAAAAAAGAAATAAACGTGCGGCAGCTACGCCAATGTAACAGTAATGGAGTAACGTGTGCGTAACACCGCGCGTGACGCAACACACAGGTTCCGGGGCGACAGGTATTACCGGAATCGTCGGGCGCGCGTGAAACGGACGTAAACAATATACGTTTACGATGCGCTCGCCGATGCCCGACAGCGAAACTGACAGCTGCGGGCAGACCGTGTGACGGTGACGCGGACGACGTGGAAAGATAATTTGGCCCCGTCCGGTCGGGTCCGCGTTGGTGGCGCGCGGACAGCGCTCGCGGTCGAACCGCGCACGTTTTGCGGACGGCTGCGGGCGCGTCGCCGGGACCAACGAGAACTTTTGAGGGCCCCAGGGCTGATCGGTTTCAGGCTCCCTTTACTCGCACTTTTTTGGCTTACACGTACATATTACTTGTACACGCTTGAGTGCAATACAAATATCGTATAAAAGGCTTAAGCGACGAGCCCTCTCGAACGTACGGGCACCGGAGCTCTAGCCCTCCCAGCCCTACTCTCACGCCGGCCCTACGCATCGAACGCGGCAGCATTGACGATTCCACGTGTTGACCGCATTAAAAATATGTCAAGACCTTTGGACGTCGCGTGCCTTAACGTAGTCGCACTAATGATTTGCAATCGCACGGCGTTATCGTCGTTCAATTGCAACGAGTGGGCTGTATGCCGAAAATCGGGCGCATGCGTTCGGGAAGTACTTACCAGTGCGCAATGTCAAAAATTGAAGTTGTGATCTTATTCGAAATCGTATATTTCGGGATCGAAACTGTTTCCAACGTGATATTAGTGGCGGATTAAGGTTTAGAGAACTATGGGACTATTTCAAGAGACCACTTATTAGCGCTGAAACTGGATTATAAATGTACACCTAAAAATAAAAAAAAAAAAGTACAATTTGTGTTCTTAAGTATATCATAACTATCATTGAAAACATGTATTGTATGGAGGGTTCCGGATCCAGGGTCATCATTTGGGGAGTGGCAACAACTGGGACGTTTGCCACAGTCCAGAGTATGAACTTCAATCTAAAGTAGGCACATTTAAAAAATATAAAAAGTTTT